GTCTATGCTCCAACCCTCGCATAGTACTATACCGCTCCAAGTTCCCAACCAGCCCTACCATGAGACTGCAGCAAAAGCTGGTACTCACAGGCTTACAAAGTAAGCATGCTATGCTCCCACCCATGCATAGCATCATGCTGCTCCATCAAATACCCGAAAGACTACTTAAACATACTAAAATATTTCTAATCATTTATGACAATGAAAACAAAGTTAATATGACTCTACAAAATACTTAAAAGTCTACTTAAATATTTCCTTAGACAGACGGCAGTGGAAGCTTCACTGAAGGAAGGTAATGCAGAGATGATATGGAAGGTGTGGAATTTCAAGACGATATACAGAAACGATAAAGAAATGGAGAAAGAAAGGGAGAAGGTGAAAGTGCCTACTACGACACCACTAACTAGTCTTCTGGTAAATATTGCTACACCGCAGACACATCCTGATAGAATATATATAGAGTTAGAAAAAATGGCGGCCAGTAAATATCAAAGCTGAACCCTAATAACCGAGAGGTAATAGTGGACATGGTTAGCAAATGGCGAGTAGAAGGAGACTTGAGATACGAAGGACGAAGAATTGGAGGCCAACAAAGTAAGAGTCACGGCAAAAATGCCTCCGAAATGAGATAACATTGCGCCGGAGGAAGTCATTGAAGTCATAAAGGAGTATCACGCGGATGGGAAAATAAGTACGTACGATACAAAGTGACCGACGATGCATCCAAAAGTCTAAAAGAGGTAAAGGAAAAGCTACTGGAAGGTCCTCTGACTCCATCACAAAGTTCAAGATATTGGTGAAGCTATAGGGACACGTAACTTTTAAGTTCGTGCCTCTAGGTATTTCTAAAATTAAATAATAATAATAATAATAATAAAAATAATAAAAAATATATATATATATTTCCTTAGACAGACGGTGAAAAGGGAAGTTATAAAAATCGACTGCGGGCTAGAGGAAGGGGGAGAGACGACAAAATGAAGCCGCGAACCTACAAAAGAGAAAGCCGAAACGTAGGCGTCCGGGGAGCGAGAGAGAAGAGAAAGAAAGTGAGGACAGAGGGTTTTTATACAGTATTTACATAATAAAAATTTTTCCATAAAAGATGACTCATAATTATATTGATCGTATACGATTGTTACGCGTCGCGTATAATTATAATAGGAAATTGTAACTGATCAAAATCACAATTTGAGGTCCGATTTCCGCAGTTTTAGATATATTAGTATTTGTAGTATTTGTTTAGCTATTAATACGTTGTAGTATAAATATCAATGACTTTCACGGCGCAGCCATCGTGTTATTCCAGTGACTCCGCGAAATAAATGATTTATCTCACCATTTGGAAATACTGGGAAATACTATAAAAATGGTGCCGTAAATAGTGATTCTAAACTAGGCCAGGCAACTTCTGTCTCAGCGCAACTACAACACAACAACTAACGATTACCGACAATAATTATGTTTATTTTATGGCTATTTGATCATCACGGAATATTTCCAGCATTTTAGGCATTTTAAGGAGGGAAAGAATGAATGGTAATAATTTTTTCGTTTATTTTTTAAAATACTCATTTTATTATAATTAGAACTTAATAGTTTTCGTCAACTTTTTAAAAATTTTCTTACAATTATATATTTCAATTAAATTATTTCCTTTTTAGAATGTCCAAACTCAATAAAAGTATCCTTTTCTTAATATTTAAAGAGTTACAAGATGATCCAAAATCTCTCTTTTCATGCCTAATAGTAAATAAGCTTTGGTGTGAAACTGTTATTGGGAAAATCACTTAGTGCTTTGGAATTAATTATAGTAATAAAAATTACTTGTTCGCAACTATTTCTGGTGATACTAAAGAATTCCTAACGAGGAAGGACCGTCAGTTTTATCAAAATCAATTTCATTTGATTATTAATATAGATATTACAAATAATATAATTTTTCTTTAGCTTATAATAAATTTTTTGCAACAAGAATTTTACAGATCATTCATGAAAAAAGTTTAGAGTTGAAGTATTCGGATATAAAATCTATCAAACACCAAATATTTTATTTTCCAGAAGCTAATACTCGTTTGTCGATATATACAGAGACTCATCATTATTAACACAAAAGCTAATCTTAGAATTTGAAGTTCAGAAGAATTTAAAGTATTTTAAATGGAATAATAATTTTGAATATACTAATCATTTATTTATTTATATGTTTTATTTAATACCAAATGTTCCCAGTACAGTATATATACTTTAATCACAGGATTGTAAGAGTACTTCAAAAGTTAAAAGTTAGAACGTTGCTTTTGATTTACGCAGTAGTTATTGCAACGCAGCGACCCCCAAATTTCTCCGCGGCGCAGTAAAAGTGATTGACTGAGAATTGATGATCTTTTTTCCATTAAAAGCAACAAAAGCAACTAAATTTTTTTACGTCACGTAATTTTACTTTGAGATCAACAGACCGACACGTCCTTGAGTCAACGCGTTTTTTCAAAATGCCTTATTGTAATAGTTGTCATCATATTTTTTTCTGAAAATGCATTTAAAGTAGTTAAAAATCGTCTTTCTAAAACTTGTAATTCATATTTGACTAAACGACAAAAAAAGTATAAATCTAATCGCGTTTCCAAAATACCAATTGCATGTTCATCATTACCATTTTCATGAATTACCAGCTATTATTTCTTTAGGAGTTCCAGATGAAATTAAAAAAGGAGAAATTTGGGGGTCTGCTGTACGAATTATAATTTGTCTATCAGCACGACATTAAAAATTATCACAAAGTTATGTGGGCGTAACGTTTGTGATTATTTGATCATCACGAAATATTCCTAATTTGATCAATTTGGCCGGAATTTGGTTCCGGCATTTTAAGGAGTGAGAGAATAAAATTTTCGTAATACTGAAATTTAAACTTAAAATTTAAACTTAAAATTTAAATCAATTATAAAAGATTTTAAAAGAAATTCTATTTTTTATTTAATTTTTATAAAATAATGTCAAAACTCAATAAAGATATTCTTTTCTTAATATTTGAAGAGTTTCAAGACGATTCAAAATCCCTCTTTTCATGTTTAATGGTAAATAAACTTTGGTGTGAAACTGTTATTCCAAATTTATGGAGAAATCCTTGGTGTTATGATATTGATTATTGTAATAAAAATTATTTATTTGAAATTATTGCTTCAAATTTATCTGATGAAATTAAAGAATTTTTGATAAGGAAAGGAATACAATTACCATCAGTTTCATCCCGACCACTTTTGTTTGATTATTTATCATTCTGTAGAAGCATTAATATAAACATTATGAATACTGTAGTATCTATTGGATCATCTTTAACTTACAATCAATTTCTTTTACAACAAGAAATTTACAAATTATTTATGAAAAAATGTCCAGAATTAAAATTTTTAGATATAAAATCAATTAAACACCAAATATTTTATTTTCCGGAAGCTAATACTCGCCTTGAATCACTCTGTGAGTTAAAATGTGATACATCTATTGATTCTTCATACTTTTATGGATTAGCACGTATTTGTCAATATATACAAAGACTCATCATTTTTAATGTAAAACCAAAGCCCAACTCTGGAATTTCTAAATTAATTGAAGTTCAGAAAAATTTAAAGTATTTTGAATGGATTGATGATTTTGATGATGGTTATGTTACAGAAAATCCTTATAAAAAAATCTTTCTTGAATTAGAAAAAAAAGCAGATATTCTTAATCATTTAGAATTATATTTCCTACATTTTGACATTTCATTAATGCAAAGGTTACTTCCAAAACTTTATAAACTAAAAACCTTAATAATTAATGAATTAATTTATGATAATAAAAATATATTGAAAAGTTTAGTTTATAATGATCTTGAAATCCTTAAAATAGATTATATTACAATAGATGAAGCTTCAATAATAATTGAAAATAGTGGAGGACATCTTAAAGAAGTTTCATTAAAACCTTATAATTTTGTATATTATGGAGGTAATTTTAGTGAAGAATCTCTTATTTTTATTCATAAAATTTATGAAAATTGTCCTTTAATCGAATATCTTTCACTTACATTTTCACCATCAAAAGATCATTTTACTGAATTTGAACTATTATTAAAAGTATGTCAACATTTGAAGTCATTATTATTAGTTACATCAAATATTTATCTACGAGAAACGGAAGAAAGTACTTTAAAAAATGGTGAAGAATTATTAAAAATATTAATTAGGTCAGCACCAATTAATTTAAGAGAACTTCGATTTTTTAACAATTTTAAATTTTCTTTAAAAGCTTTGGAGGAATTCTTAGAAAAATGGAGAGGTCGACCTTCACTTTCTATACTTTCATCTGATTCTATTTATGAAGGAGAAGATTATAAAAATTTGATTAATAAATATAAAAATAATGGAGTAATTAAAGCCTTTAGATGTGAATCTATATTAAATGTAGAAAACATGGAATTTAAGATATGAACATAATGTCATTAATAATTGTACGTGTTGTATTACACCAAGGAGTGACGTACGCCCAATTTTTCTTTTATATTCTTATTACTACCTTAGAATTATTTCGAATATTAGTAATTTAGTTAATTTAGTTGTTTTATTATTTATATAATAAATTTTCAATATTGTACGCAAATAAACTATTGATATTATCGATCAAACCGTATTAATTAATAAAATTGTTATTAAAAATAAATAAAAAAAATTAGTGTGATCAACTTATTTGTGACCATATTTTGTCCGGTTATCGTCCGATTATCGTCCGGTTATCGGTTTTCTTTTTTTTATTCATATATAATTACTTTGAAAAAAGACGATAATTTACAAGTCATAAATAAACAAAAAAAAAATACATGTTTTACCTAAAAAGAAAAATACCACTATTAAATTAGACCATTTTTTTTATTGAGCGAAAACTTACCATCAAGTAATGATAATTGACCAAGTTGCTTTATATATAATACTTTAACCTCCTTTTGTCATTTCTTTTATACCTTTAAATTGAAAATAAGGTATCCATCTAATTGATTTTACAAACTTTTTTTGATACCAATTGATCAGAGTTTTTATAAAATTTTTTTTCAAAATTTTGGTTTCCGTGGCTCAAAAGTAGGTATACAAAAAAATTTGCTATTTTTTGTTATACACATTATGGAGCATTTGGTGGTGGTCATGATTTATTTCAAGAAAATTGTTTACGTGCCCAAATTCTTTGAATAGAAAATAAGATGGAAATTTACCAAGATTTTTTGAAATGAATAAAATAAATAAATTAAAAAGAAAATTAATTAAAAATATTTATTTGTGTAGGTCTTTGTAATTTACCTTTGAGATATAAAGTAAAACATTTAATCCCAGATAGTCGGGAAATTACTAGTAATTTTAGTTTAAAATAGTTTTTAAAATAGTTAATATTTAATGAGTGACACGCTCCAGGGATTACCCATTTATTTCATGGGAAGGGGAACATTAGGGTTTTTTTCCCTTTGGGAAAAAACCCTATTATTCCCAACTTCTCATGAAATAAATAATAAGCAATTTATCGCATAAATTTGATAATGCTGAGCAGAATATGCGCAGATCTCGACCTATTTTTACATGTAACTCAAGTCGTGCAATATGACTTTGAGCGATATATAAATAGATAACAAGAGATCGGCAGTCACGCATATCTTCAGGGCCAGAATTACTCAATGCCGCCTTGGAATTGTCCAGAAAAGGAATGATCTACACATTATTTTGGTTCATTCTACACAAGGCCACGAGCTCTGACGCTCTGTATTGTTACCTTTTTGTGTAGGTCCCCTCGTACAATATTGAATCTTAAATAAAGGCGTAACTATAATTTTTGTAATTCACCGTAAGTTTCATTCAAAATTTCGTTAAAAAAAAATGCCTTTTGAATATTCTCAAGAAGTTATTGACGATTATGAAAAATTATTTGAAAGTGAAGAAGAATATGATGTTATTATTTATTCTGGCGAAAATGAAAATATAAAAGAATTTCATGCACATTCACTTGTATTACGTACAAGGTCTAAATATTTTCGTACGGCATTCTCTAAGGAATGGTCTGAAAAGAAAGATGAAAAATTTATTTTTAGGAAACCAAATATTTCTCCTCAAATTTTTGAAATGATTTTAAGGTAACGTAACGTAATAAAATGTTATATGAAAGTAATAGTGATATAAATTATATATTCTTTAAAAAATTTTAGTAATTTTTCTTTGTTAAAAATTTCAGATTTATTTATTGCGGAAAGATTGATTTAGAGAAATTACAAGTACCTGATATTTTAAAACTTTTGATGGCAGTAGATGAAATTGATATTCAAACTTTAGCCGAAAACATACAAAATTATTTGACTAAATATCAAGTTGAATTTTTGGAAGAAAATCCTATTGAAATTCTTGAAGCAACTTGTCAAAATGAATCATTCACGATTTTATGGAATCTTTGTCTAGGAAAAATTTGTGAAGAACCCGAAATGTTATTTAATTCAGATAAGTTCATCACTTTAAAAGCAGCTTTATTGGAGTTACTTTTGAAAAGAAATGATTTATCATTAGATGAAATTGTTATCTGGGACAATTTGATTAAATGGTGTTTGGCTCAACATCCTGATATTTCACAAAATCCTACACAATGGAATAAAGATGAAATCGCAATATTGGAGAAAACTATTCATAGATTTATTCCGTTAATAAGATTTGATCATATCTCTTCAGAAGATTTTATTATTAAAGTATATCCTTTTAAAGAAATAATACCAAATGATCTGGTTAATAACAAGCTTATATATCACATGGCTCCAAATAAGCAATTAAATGTAATTTTACAACCTCCCAGACAACCAAAATGTATTTACGATTCTATTTTACTTAGGTCTCAACATTTTGCTATTTTTTCTGATTGGATTGAAAAGAAAAATGATTCTCATTATAATATAGAGAATATTCCTTACAAATTCGATTTACTTTGCCGTGCTAGTAGAGATGGTAACACATCTGAAGTATTTCATGCTAAATGTGATCATAGAGGTGCCACTATAATTATAGCAAAAATTTCAAATTCGAATCATATTGTTGGAGGATATAATCCACTTTTTTGGGATACAACTAGTGATTGGAAGTCTACAAATAATAGTTTTATATTCTCATTTACAAATACAAATGACTTTCAAACTGCAAAGGTAGGTCACGTTACTAATACAAGTTATGCTATGCGATGTAGTTCAGCTTATGGACCAATATTTGGTGGTGGTTATGATTTATTTCACAGTGTTGATAGTACTTGGAAAAGCCATAAACACTCTTATCCTGAAATTGATATACCACAGGATCGTAAGATGGGCAATTATAATGTTTTTAATGTAGAGAATTATGAAGTGTTTCAAGTTGTTAAAAAATAATCTGATTGATATAACATATTAATTGTAGTTGTTAGTTTTCTTTTAATAACAAATTTATTAAGTTTATCAAAAAAGTAACAATTTCATGTGGTGGAATATACTATTTTAATGTCAGCTGAATTAAAATTTGTAATAATATAAAATAATTATGTCACAGTTATAATATACTTATTTATTATATGCGATTTTATTTGTAAATACATCTTGAGTTTATGACGTTATCCTTACGAAAACTATATAAACTACCGTATATATTAACTGGTGTTTAAGGTTGGTTGCGTTGTTAAAACTATCATCAATTATATCCCAAAATTTTTTAATTGTTCAACTGAAATAAAACCAAATTTCTAATATAATTATGACTTTACTAAAACGCATCATTGGTACTAAGATGAGGTTGAATTCGACAGCGACCAGGATGACGTATTGATACTACTGGATAAAGCTTTGATGGTAGATTATTCCATTCTAACACCTTCCGATACCTTTTACCATTGACTGTAAAAGCACAAGTTCTTCTATTCATATCTAAATGAACTGTAACTATTGTACCATCTCCAAAGTTAGTACAATAATTTTTTATTAAAACTCTATAATTACGACAATGGCCATCAGAACTTAATACCCATCCAGTAGATTGCTTTCCAGCAGACCTATCATAATTAAAATTTTCCGATGAGCATACTCCAACCCAAGCACTATCACAATTTTCCTCAATAATAACATCCCATTCAAAAATACCTTTATTCTCTAATAACATTTTACCTCTAACACTTCTATGTTTATGTTTATGTCTATAATGCCTTTTACCTGCTAGTACAATTTTTCCATCATCTTTAATAACGAGGTTTGATCCACATGCTGACATATCCCAAACATAATCAGATTCATTAATTGATTTTCCACGAGTATTACTTAAATTTGAATCACTTGATATTGCTATGTTTCGATAAGCACTTTGAATTATTTCGATTGGAATAATATTTAATGGTTCAATAATATCAGATATTATTTGCGCATTAATTCTTCTGAAATCAATAAATTTAATCAAAGGTTTCAATTTTTTTGCGATTTGTTTATTGATAATAAATTCATTTTTTACTTGAACTGAATTACGTATTTGTTTTAAGGGTGGTAATCGTTCCGTGAAAATATTATATGCATAATTGGAAACTTGTTTTGCTGCAAGAATAACACTATATCGAAAAACTTCATACTCTGGTGTCGCAAAAGTCACTTCATTTTCATATGTATAAGATAAAAGGTATTTAAGACCTGTAATAGACAATCGACCAAATTCAATAGTATTTAATGGAATAATCGCTACCATTTCAATCAATGAATTTAAAAAAATGTTATCTTCTGTTAATGGAATCATTTCCGTAAGCTTAGATAGTAACTCTGGAGTTACAAAATTAACATTATTTATTGTGTTTATAATAAAATCCTTTAGACTTGATAATTGAAAATAATCTGCAGCGAAAAAAGTTTCAATTATATTATCTTCTGTTAAAGATTCTTCTTTAATAGATCCTGCGTAAATATATTCTATTATGATTTTCATCACAACAGAATTAATGCTTGGAAAAGAAATTTGGGTTTCATAAGTTTCCTTCATCCCATTATAAAGTAAACTATCAAATATTTCTGATCTTGCTGCTAAAATTGCTCTACAAGCAAATAATTTCTTTTCATCTTCACATAAAATTTCTATATCACTATACTTTGGATTATTTATTAATGTAATTAAATCTTGTCCTAATGAATCTCCTTTCATATTTCTTAAAATTTTTTTTCCTCGGAAATAAAAAATTTTTGATGATTCTACTAAACCCACCCATCATTTATAAATTACCTGGGGAGTCATAATTACAATTAATGGGTTAATTATAAAATTGTATGTAGAAAATTCTTGAATATGTTTACGTATTCAACAATATGATATTAGTAATTTAAGAATATGTGTAACATTTCTAAGTTGCTCATGTGACTTTAATTTTTTGTCGGTAGAGTATGATATGAGTGAGTATATAACTCTCGTTATATGTATAATATGGTCAAATATCAGCTATACTGTATAGAATTTAATATGAAAGTGGATACCATACTAACCATATATACCAATTTTTAGCACCATACCATATATACAACAGAGGTCATATCATACTCATTATATAGTATTCGAGATCGCAATATTTTTACTATGTACCAAACAACTTTTTGTTTGAATGCCTAAATTATTTTTTCTTGTGGCGCACTCATGTAATTTCATAAAGGAATACTAATATCAAAAATAATAGTTATAAATCTTATGTGAAATATTACTTATTTTTGAATAAATTTTTTATGTTTTTTTTTAAAATGATATATAATTTTTTAATTGGTCAATTTCTTAAAATTTTTTTATTGAGACGCGATCATAAAATAATAGATTATTTTTTCACTGAACCATAATTACAAAACAATTTGTTTTTTTTTTAGATTCAATTTTTAGATTCGATTATCAACTCTAATAGATTCGATTAAATTTTTGAATAATTTGATTTTGGTAAAATCTATCAATTTTTTTTTATTATATAATAAATATAGTAAATATGATGTAAACGTGAAAAAAAATTAATACTAGAAAACAGATAAAAGCGGTCTACAGAAAAAAATGATATTTTCTTTCCTGATTTTAATAAAATGAAGCGAATAATGATAAACTCACTAGAATTTCTAATTATCGAACAAAAAGATTATTAAAATAATTGTAAATTTACAAACGTTGCAAATTATTTTCTATATTGTCATTCATGTCGTATGAAAAAAATATATATATAATTATCTAATATATGAAAAACATAGGGATAAGGTACTTTTGAATAGTATACGTACTTATGCAGGGGTTTTGGTATGCAAAATTAACACTTAACGGTCTTAACGCTAAATAGCTAGACAAATTAATCTCCTGCTGCTGATTTTGATTATATAATGATTTTTTTATTGGTCTTAATGATAAATGTGCAATGTGAATTTAATATTACTTATTATGTAAATGTTTTATAATAAAAAATATATTTGTTAAATTTGTATTAAAAATATGCATATTAATAACTGACTATAGCTAAAAATCCTTAAATTGTACGCATCTCAAAACTATATAAATGTTAATTGATTTTTCACGCTTGCATAAAAACTAATTTATTGCTCTTAATAATTGTCATTAAAAGGTTGGTAATTGGAAAATATTATTTGTAATTAATACTGCATGTCATAAACTAAAATGGAATTTTTTTTTTAATTTAATACCGGACGGATAATGTCTATTTATACCACCTTTGCAGATCATTTTTTAACAATTGTAGTAAATCTATACGTAAATCTATACTATATTTTGTTCGTATACATTAATCGACTTATTACAGCTGGATAACATAATTTGTCTAATAATTGAGAATCGACACAATACATTCATGTTTTCTAGCACTCTCTAAAGTTGTCCACGCAAATTAATAAATAAAATTACCAGATTACAGGATGCAAAAACCGGGCAATTGGTCCAGTAATTGTCCTGTAATTATAATGTCCTGTAATTATAATCACCCAATAATCCACAACGTACACAAAATTCTGAAAACTGCAATAATATATTTATATATGATATATCTGATATGAAAAAAAAAAATTAATTAACGGATAATCCGAACGATTACTTGTAATTAATATTTTAAATATTTTGGAAACGGCAATTTTTCTCCAATAAAACCACCAATATTTAATTAACTGTATAATGATTTTATTATAAATTCGCGATATTAGCCAGTGCTGTCAATATGACCCGCACTCGCACTATTCCTTAGTTAATTTTATACTACAGTAATTTCATGCTACAAATTTTGGCCCAATTCGAGACTTTAATACTTTAATAAACATTACTAAAATAATTTTTTACAAGCATAACATTGTATCGAATTCTGAATATATTATCTTGCCGCTTTAATTCGTATGATTAATTTAGTTTAATTTTTTTTTAATTCAAGATCCACGACCTACCGAACGATCATAATACTATCAATGTTTTACAAATAATAACCTGCATCAGCATGACAATTTGTTTTTCTTTGAAAGATACCAACTTATGAAATGCGTCCCAGGATATAATATTTACCATCGCATAACTTTGACATTATACAGTACTGTATATAATTACAGTAATAAAAGATGATGCGTAATGTATAATTTCTTTATTAGATTTATTATTTTTATTTGCTTGAGTAAAAATAATATAAATGTTCCACGATGGAATCTTCTTTCGTCACAAGTTTGATTTGTTGTGATACAGTAATAATGCTCGATCATGAAATCTAACCTTAAATTTCAATTGTTTATTTTTAACTTTTTTGAAAAACATTTTTTAATAATGTTTAGTGAAAAGTGAATATGAACTTGGTCATGAAACATAAATATGCAGTACTAAAATCACTAACTTGTTGTGTTTAATGCCGAATGACTAATTTATCCGTAGTTACCAGTTTATCACATGTTTTTGATACGTGTATCACATTTATAATTTGGATAAACCAATTTCAATATTTTTAATGTTTTCAATGTTTAACAAAATAATAATTGATGCAACAACAATATGATAAGTCTAAAAATAATGTTACGCGTTATTTCGTTATTATTTCATCTTTGTAAAATAAGTATTTCGTTGTTTCCAAAAATGTCATGATTTGCTTTCTTAGAAATTATAAATTATCTTTTATTTTATTTTTCTTTTTAGAAAGAAGAAAATTTTATTTGGTTAATAAATAAAAATAAACTATGACCTTTTTGAGTAGAACATTATGGCTTCTCATTATGATGTTATCATCATTACTTACTACAATCGCTATAAAATACTACGAGGATTTACCTGACCTTCGTTTGGAAGGTACAAGCACATATGATAGTGGAACAATTATATTACTTTTCACTCAAGGAAATGACGAAATAAGGGACAACACAAAAATTCATTTACGTATCATCCTTAATAATGATACGGTTCTTCCGCCAATTAAAATTGATTGCAGTTCGCTTCCTAATCTTATTCCTAAATGTAGAAAAAGTAAAGACGCAAGTGGATCATGTTCTTTAAGTCCAACAGCATTAATAGACGGATATGTTCTTATAGAGTCAGTTGATGAGTCAAATCGTAAAAGACAGATGATTGTATCATGGGACGAAAAAATACATAGGTAATGTTCAAATATGTAATATAAAATTAAATTGAATTTATCCCGCCTGCTTCGTATGGAGGTGGTGGTGAAGGAGGTCGTTTAACCAATTCCGTTAATCAATTTTTATTATATTTAGAGTACTTGAAATGGATGATTATCAAACAACTGTCGCACTTAATTCAGAACGAACTTTTTTTATAACAGAATTAAAAGATAGTAAAACACTAATATGGAGCAAATTTATCGTCCAGTATGTATTTATTAACATTATTATTTTTTTTTAAAAAATTCATAATAATTAATTTCATCTCTGAATTTTATTAGAGATGATACATCACTAATAAATGTCGATGGATCATACAATGTACTTAAAAATAATACTATTATAAAAACGTAAGTATCAATTAATAATTCGATTTCGTGGTTTATAAAATATATTTATTTATTTTTTTTTTTTTTTGAATTCTTAGTCATACCGTTTTTTCTCTAGTTGAAGGAGGATACGCTACTACAATCTTAACAAGAACTAAATTAAATGATACTAATATAATTAATATACTTGATGAAGTTTACGTTATATATTTTAAAGATGATGCTCCAAAAGAGTTTCTACTTCATTCTTTAACTTCATATGAAGGTGAATTAAAAGTTTTTGGAGGAGGTAATATAAAACAATTATAATTCTTTACTTGCATGTAAATTATTTTCTTGATACGGGGTCCAAATATGCTTAAAGCGACACGCAGGATATCCCCGTATCGTTCTGGTATTTTATTAAAATAATTATGTTTATTTCATTTTAGTTTACGCAAATTCTTTTGATGGATCAGGACATACATACGATTTCATACATAATAGCACTGATCTACGGATTCATTTTTTGTCAAACGGGGCAGTAACTGCTATTGATCATAATTTTCATTTTGATCTTTCAAACTTTGCTATTCCTATACCATTATTTTATGGTGGTTATATAAAACAATATTTATTTAATAATTCAGTAGTTGTTTATGATGATTATGATAGAAGTAGAAAAATGTTTGATTTAACTTCACTTAATGGAATTATGCAGAAAAAATTATTATTATGGTCTGTAAATTTTAATAATGATCAGTCATGGGAAATAAGTTATCATTCATTGGATTTAACCGACCCTGCAGGTAAAAACTTTATTTTTAAGTAATAAATATTTTTAAAATCCATAATTTAAATAAAAATTTATTTTATTAGATTCACGTTTCATTTTTCAAAATCCCAGCATTGAAGGGACTTATCCAATAATTAACGAAACCATTCAAGTTCCAAGTGCAACTGCAACCGAAAGGCAACTTGACTTTATTGTAAACTTTAATAAACCCATTATGCTATCCAATGGAAATATAAATATATATCAGTATTTAAATAATGATGATTTAATTTTAAGACAAATAATTCCTGGACAATCCGAATTTTGTCAATTAATCAATAAAACAGCAATATCAATAAAAGTATTTGTTAGTACATTACATCAAATTAATGTCAAATATGGAGTTAAAGTGGATAATAATGCTATTAAAATTCTATCTAATGGAGAACCTTTATTAGGAATTTCAGAAAGAATTTGGACTTTTTATTCATGTATGTAAGATGACACTCGTATTTAGTTATTACTAATTATATTTTACTGATTATCAAATTTTCATACATTTTTCTAGCTTTGGAAACTCCAGAAAAATCAGCAGGTATTTATTAATTAATTAATTTATATTAAATACAAAATTATACCAATAATACTTTCTTACATCCTATAGATCAAGTTACAATTACCGCTCGCTTAATACTTGACGATGAAAATTATAAAAAAATTAGTTCAAAAAATAGTCGTTCAATTATTCTTCAAACACTCAAAGATGAATTGGTTCAAGCGATACCAATTGATCCAGAAAGATTAAAACTCGATGAAAAAGTTCAAAATGAAAACACAAATAAACAAGTATTAATTTCTGCTACTATTATGCCACCCTCTGAATATAATGGTAATGAAAGAAATACAAATTCTATATTAAAAGATTTAGATGAATTAATTAAACAAAAGAAATATAATCTTATTTCAAATGGTAAAATTACAAGATTTTTGGATGAATACTATGGAGCTCAAACATTACGTAAGTTATATTTGTTATTATATTTAACTTTATTTACAGTTATTTACTGTATATTACATGTTACTACATTCATTTAACAGCCGATTTTTGGACGAGGTATGAATATCAATTGATCGTTTTGGCACTTGTAATCATAATTGTGGGTTGTGCAATATTTTATGCGAATTATAGATGTTCCGAGGTAATTATATCATGTTAGATCTATTCATGATTTTATAAATAATCAGATTGATAATTCTATCATTAATATAATTTAGGGAAATAATTTATCAATAATAAAAATCGTAGTGATTATATTCGATTTAGTCTTAGATATTTTGTTTGTCACTACGAGTGCAAAGGATGCACTTCATTTATTTGTTTTCAGGTAATTTATTACATATTTTTTTTTTCCTTTTAGGAATTATTATAATAATAATTATTTATTATCTAATTTTAGTCTTTTATCGGTTGTAATTCCAATCGTATTTAATATGACGATAACTATATATTCATTAATTCAAGAAATTATTTATAATGAGAATTTTAATAATTGGTGTAAAAAAAACAGTTTAATTATTTCAATATTTACGATATTATCAAGTGCAGATGTTGAAGCACTTCACGTTCTTTCATCAAAAATTGCTGGATTCAACGTTTTTTCTGCACCTCCACTATCAAATAAAATATCAAAACTAATATTTTGGACCGGTTGTATTAATATATTATTGGAAGATATCCCACAATTTATTATTCAGGTATGAAATTATATAACATTATTTGGGATAATATTTTTAATATTAATCTAATATTCTTTTATTATTATTATTATTATTATTATTATTATTATTAGATTTATTATAGAAAAAGTATCATTGTTTATACAATTGTTCCTACTCTATCACTTATTTCGAGTTTTGTAACATTATGTATGAATTTTATTGGAAAAATTTATTTCTTTTTTATGCATCTCCATAAAAATAAGAAAACTAATAGCTCATTAGTAATTTAGAGTCGAAAAATCAAATTAATTTACTAACATTTAATTATTATATAAAATATAAGAATAATTTAATTCCAAATGAATTTTTCAATCGATAGTTAAAAATATCGAACCGAAGATCAATATTATCGAACGGATATTATGGTCATATGATCGTAATAGAAATTTAAGCAACGTGACCTTTTTTCAAAACTATTTAATATATAACAGAATAAAAGAATTATTCAGACAATGTTATTTCTTATAATCCGTTTAAAATCCCTTAATTAATTAGAGGATGTAACAATAATATAAAATTATAAATTTGGCTGTATTGTGACGCGCTAATTCTATAAAACGTACAGTACATTATAATTGTAGCAACCCTAGCGAGTTAAAGTTAATTAAGTCGACACCAACTAATTTAAGAGATATTATCGCCGTTTTCAAAACGGTTGATGCTGTTATGTTTGGATGAAAAAAAATGAAAACTGAAAACTGGATGAAAACCGGACAAATAATGGACGCGAATATTGGTATTCGAATATTTAATCATAAATAAATGGCATCAACCATTTTGAAAACGGCTGTAAATAAATTTTCTTCGGAAGCCACTGGAAACCTTTGGAGAATTCTAGGAAAATGAGAGGTATGATCCTAAACATGGAGTAACGTGAATAATTATATGTTGTTCGCACTTATTATAATGCTGAATATTATAAACTATAATTTGATCGGATATTTGATAAAAGTGTGACCCATTGACTTTAGCTTAATTATAGCTTAACGTAAATTATAGCTTATTTTTGATTTTTTAAAAATAACAAAATTATCGGCAATTATACTTAATATATGGAGCACGATATCCGGATAGCATCCGGTATTTCGGATGTCGGATTGTCACGTGAATCAAGATTTATACTAAATCAAATTATACAACCAATTATTTTATGCTATCATGACAAAATAAATGCTTTCATTACATATTAGATGGCAAATAATTGAAAAAACTTTAGAAGACTACCTTAGTCAACTGTTGATCACGTATGCAAACATTTTAGAAAACATAGACGTATATAAAAGCTTCCTTTACCACGAATTTTCAACTCTAATGACCTAAAATACCTTGAAGTTCTGCTTAAAGAAAGGGTTGACTGGTATTTGTATGAACTTTAATCAGAATTTGGATGTGAAGAATTCTAAATATTTCAACATTATGCCGAATTTTACATCTTGGATATACGCACAAAAGAGTAACATTTATTTTAATAATTAACATATGAATATAAATATGATATGAATCAATAATTCAGCATGATGATGTGAGTTACGTTTAACTATAAACAAAAAAAAATTATCACGCAACAACCCGATATCCGACATACCGGACCGGATATCGGGTTCAAAATTTTACTTTGTCCCGAATAATATGAAAACAGCTGTAACGAGTTTCTTAAAGTCAGAAATACGCCAATCTATCATATACTATGTAACCAATCTTATTATTAAACTTTATACAAATTTATTAATTTTTATAATTACATGTCTAAATTCCCCATTATTCATGTAACTATAAATTAAATATCGGCCGGAGGATGGATATTAATAAAATTATGACTATTTCTTTTTAAGAATATAACACGATCAAACAATTCAGGTTTAATTATTGATCTTTTAGTAGTTAGAAGATTCCCTGCATCCGAGAATAATCTTTCAGAAGGAGTAGACGCTGCTCGGATGCCCAATATCTTCCTAGCTAATTGACTAATAATTGGAAATTTTTCTTTTCTTTCATTCCACCAGGCATATGGATCTTTTTCAAATGGGATTTCTTCTAATTCTAAATATTCAATTACTTCATTTTCAGCTACTGTTTGTTTGGTAAAGGCATCAAAAAGAGATCGTTTTTTTCTCTGCTGTGGTGAAGCTGAAGGTAGAGGATTTAATTGAACTAATTTTATAGTGTTATATCTTTCATGTAATTCATCCTCTGCATCCTTTTTTTGCTCTTGTGTAGCAAATTTTAATTTTTTGAAACGTGGATCAAGAAGAGCGGCAAGAAGAGCTTCGGGAGATGTAGGATTGAAATAGTGAATCAACGCTATATACAAATTCTTTTTGATTAAATCAAATAGCCCATAAGTATTAACAGGCACATTAATATTAATTTTTTCTTGTGATTCACTTTGATTTTCATCGATTTCCAGAGCTTCATCAAAAGCATCACCAGCTTCATCAAGATTAAAATTAATTACGGAGCTGGTTGATGGGAGAACATTCATCATAATTACTGCAATAGTAGGATTGATACTACTATAAGTACAATATTTACTTCCGCCCAAATAATTCGTTGCTTCTGCAAAATAGAATAGAATTTCTTTTAAATCATGAATTAGTAGCCATTCATCTTCAGTTATCATTATATTTTTTAATCTTTTTGCATCCTTTCGGGAATCAGAATCAGATTGAAGTTCAAGATAATTAAGTAATTCTTTAATATATCCCTTTAATTTTAATAGACGACACCAAGCTAAATAGCTGGAATTCCATCGAGTTGAGACATCAGCAATGGTATTAAGGTATTTAGCAGTTTCGGAAGAATTCTGATAATAAAATATGTAAAATATGATTAAATATGATTAAATATATTAATTAATAAAATATTCATTAAAACATACTATAGGTTCTTCATCATCTTCATAGTTAGCAAGAGAAGGGTATTCTTTTTGAATGACCGTAAGTCTTTCAGATTGTTTAGGTGTCATAAAAAAGTCTATTAGGCGCTTCACCCGTAAAATTAAGTTTCGTGCTACAAACAATCCCTTTCCCACTACCAATTGCAATGTATGTGAAAAACAACCAATCCAACTAATTCCATCTAGTAATTTTACGCATTTTTTCATATTAGACGTGTTATTTGTTATAATTGTTGTTGTAAGGTGCCGAATTTTCCATTGATTTAAAATATTTTCAATACATTCTGCTATATTCTCAGCAGTGTGAGGATAGCGAACATATTGAACAGTGAGGATAATTTCCTTAAGGGTAAAATCTGAATCCAGATATGAGCAGGTAATTCCAATAAAACCCTTTCTATTTCGGCCAGTCCACAAATCTGTTGTTAATGATACAGATGTGGCTTCTTTTATAATTTGTTCTATTATTTTTGGTTGTATATAATTATATGCTTTATGAATGATCGCCTTTATGGTTTTTGCTTCTGGGACTAGAAATGTAGGATCCAATTCGTTACAAAAAATGCGAAATGATGTGCTGTTGACTACCGAAAAAGGTAGTAAATCGTCAACAATCCAATTGGTTAAAAACTGCTGAAGTTCAGTTTGTCGCTTTTCTGTATGTTTTTCTATTACATTAAGTTGTTTTTCCTATACATCATTTTTAATAAAAAGATTGTTAGATACGAAAATAATAAACAAAAACATGATGTTTATAAGTTTATTAATTTTAGATTATTGTACCTCAGGTTGTAATCCAACTTTAGTAATTTGATGAGCAGACCATAAATGACTATTTCCGTTACTTGTTGAACCATCATGTTTAAATTGTACATTACATTTTGTCCCGTCTTCCTTTATTACTTGGCAAACTATAACTGGTTCATTATTTTCATTAAGGTCTTTAATAAAATGCTCCCATATCCAGCTGGTTCTCTTTCTTGTACGTTTTTGTTTTTTTGAGGGTTGAATCAAATCTTCATGAGAAGGAGCGCTTGGAGAAGGATTGCTTGAAGTAGTCAAGAAAGATGTAATTTGACTTTGACGTGACATTTGAAATATAAACGTTTAAGAAAAAAGTAAAAAAAGTTAATTGATTTAACACAATTTTAACTCAATTATAAATAAACTTATCAGGATCACCTGACACGTTATTCGGATAACCGTTATGGTGGAAAATGACTTTCCGGATAGCTGCGACCCGTTACCCGCTTATCCGGATACATGTATCCGGGTATACTCAGGTATTTATGAGTATCCGAGTTATGGCGGGAAATATCCGTTTTGTATCCGTTTTATGTTGACAATATACACCCGGGTAGTCGCCACAAAAAAAATAATTTATGAAAATTTTGACCTAAAAAGATTCTTATTAATTCTGGTCAAATTTTAATTTTCGGCCAGAATTAAGTAGTGTGTTGTAAACAGTGCTTATCCTAAAAGACTTCTTTAATTTGGATAAATTATTATATTGATTTATATATTTATTGAGAAAAGAACAGGTTTTTATCCCGGTAATACCCAATAAAAAGATAAACGGGTATAAACGGGTAATACCCGTTTTGGAGTCGGGTAACGCATTTTCTGACGGGCAGCTCTACAGACATCATCAATATCAAATTTGCTAAAACGCTTCAGCACAAGGGTTTATTGATATCAATTTATTAATTAAATCTTTCATTTATTTCATTTCAAAAAAACTGAAGAAAAGTAGGAATAATAGATGATGCAAAAAAACAACGTTAGTAGCGAGTAGCGACATTATCTGAAAGAAGAAAGAAAAAAAATTCAATATATTTTATATAATTATTTAGATGAATTACTAGCTTCTACTGTAAAATCAGAATCCTATCAATTCAATTGTGCGTGAATAAAAAAAATAATCACGTGATACTACAAAATTAGCCACAGTAAATCTATTAAACAAGAATTACTAAAATAACTAACAATTAATTTCCTACACCGCCATAATTACATGTGATTGTGTTTCATAAAATGATTTACAAGTCGTACAATATTCGAGTTTAAATAATTTAAAGTTTCTTTCAGAATCTTTGTTTAAATTATGCCTTTCGAATGTCCTCAAGACGTTACTAATGATTTGGAAAAATTACTTGAAACTGATGAAGAATATGATGTTATTATTTACGCGGGTGAAAATGAAAATATAAAAGAAATTCATGCACACTCAATTATATTGCGCACAAGATCTCAATATTTTCGTTCGGCATTCTCTAATGAATGGTCTGAAAAAAAGAACGGAAAATTTATCTTTAAGAAGCCTAATATTTCTCCTCAATTTTTTAAAATAATTTTAAGGTAAATTAAAAATTTATATGAAAAGTAATATAGATAATCCCATATTTTTATCAAAGTTATAATAATTTTCTTTGTAACAATTTCAGATTTATTTATTGCGGAAAAATTGATTTAGAGAAATTACAAGGGCCTGATATTTTAAAACTTTTGGTAGCCGTAGATGAGATTGATATTCAAACCTTAACCGATCACATAGAAGAATACTTGATTAAACACCAAGATGCGTTTATTCAAGAAAATCCCATCAAAATTCTTGAAGCGATTTATGAAAATAAAGCTTTTACAAATTTATGGGATCTTTACTCAGAAAAAATTTGTGAAGAACCAGAATTATTGTTTAATTCTGATAAATTTACTAGTTTAAAAGCACCTTTATTAGAGTTACTTCTTAAAAGGGACGACTTATCATTGGATGAAATTGTTATCTGGGAAAGTCTGATCAAATGGTGCTTAGCTCAACATCGTAATGTTCCACGAAATCCCACACGATGGAATAAAGAAGAAACCACAATTATGGCGAAGACTATCCATAGATTTATTCCATTAATAAGATTTAATTATATCTATTCAGAGGATTTTATTTTTAAAGTATATCCTTTTAAAGAAATAATTCCAAAAGTTCTGGTTAATAACATACTTATATTTCACATGGCTCCAAATAAGCAATTATATGTTGATATACAACCTCCTAGACAACCAAAGTGTGTTCGTGATATTTATGATTCAAATATAATTGAATCACACCATTTTGCTATTTTTTCTAGTTGGATTGAAAAGGAAGATCAGTTTTACTTTAATGTAAAAAGTATTCCTTATAATTTTAATTTACTTTATCGTGCTAGTAGGGATGGTGACACACCAGCAGCATTTCATGCTAAATGTGATTACAAGGGTGCCACTATCTCTGTAGCAAAGATCACAAATTCTGATCAAATAGTTGGAGGGTATAATCCACTCTATTGGTATTCAGGTATTACATATATGTCTGCTAATGATAGTTTTATATTCTCATTTAAAAATAAAAATAACTTCCAAAGTGCAAAGATAGGCTACAGTAACGGTTTAAATTCTATAGGTGGTTTTACAAGTAATGGTCCGGTATTTGGTGGTAATTATGGTTGTCATTTAGCAGCTGGACCTTCGAGTGGTACTTGGTTTAGCAATCCAACTGCATGTAATAAAACATATCCTAAAATTGGTATACCGGAAAACGATTTTAATGTCGATGATTATGAAGTTTTTCAAGTTGTTAAGCGCTAGAATTTGTTTTTTGTCTTATCCCTATATAAGTGTTGGCTGAGGCATTATTAACTCAAAGTTATGAATAACCTCGGGAAGACCTGGCTCCTGTAGAAAATTTCTATTTGTATTGTCATCATCATAAATTTTGCATGTTTTAACAAAAATAAATCATTACTTATATGTAATTTAATGTCATAAAAAACTTTTTCCCAAAAATGAACTAAATAAATAGATTATCTAATGTGCTTAACCTACAAAAAAGTTGATTCGTATTTTATAATCTTAAGGGCAATTTTTTAAGTAATTAAACAATTGCTTTATATTCAAATTCATCATTTTTAACCGATTTACTTTTTTTTTGATGTGGAGCGACAGTAATACTTATTAAGACTAAGTGATCGTCCAACTCCTTAATGCATGTGATTTGTGTCTCCTGAAAAAAGAACTAAAAAAAAAAAATTTTTTTTTGAAATTAAAAAAAAAAAATGCCTTTCGAATGTTCTCAGGAAGTTATTAGTGATTTGGAAAGATTACTTACTGATGATGAATATGATGTTATTATCTACGCAGGCGAAAATGAAAACGTGAAGGAAATACATGCGCACTCAAGTATTTTACGTACAAGGTCTCAATATTTTCGTACATCATTCTCGAAGAAAAAGGATGGAAAAGTTGTTTTTAAATTACCTAATATTCCACCTCAATTATTTGAAATGATTTTAAGGTAATATAAAATTTATATATGGGAAGTTTACATGATGAAAATTGACTAAATATCGCAATAAATCTTTTAATTCAGATTCATTTATTGTGGAAAGATTGATTTGGAGAAATTACAAGAGCATAATATTTTAAAGCTTTTGATATCAGTGAACGAATTAAACATTCAAACCTTAATTCACTATATTCAACAATATATGATTAATCATCAAGACGAATTTTTACAACGAAATCCCGTTGAAATTCTTGAAACATCCTACCAACACGAATCTTTCACAGATTTACGGAATTTTACTCTCAATAAAGTTTGTGAGAAGCCAGAAATATTATTTAAATCCGATAAATTTGCAAATTTAAAAGCACCATTATTAGAATTACTTTTGAAAAGAGATGATCTATTATTAGAAGAAATTATTATTTGGGATAATTTGATTAAATGGTGTCTGGCTCAACATTCTAATATTTCACAAGATCCTACGCAATGGAATAATGATGATATCGCAATTATGGATAGAACAATTCATGAATTTATCCCATTAATAAGGTTTTATTATATTTCTTCAGAAGATTTTGTTACTAAAGTGTATCCATTTAAAGATATAATGCCAAAAGATTTGGTTAGTAATATACTCACATTTCGTATGGCTCCAAATAAGCAATTAAATATGGGCATACCATCTCCTAGACAATCATCAACAAATAATATTGATTCCATTGTAATTAATAAAAAACATTTTGCAATTTTTGCAAATTGGATTAGCAGAAGACCGTGTAAATTCAAACTTTTATATAGAGCTAGCAGAGATGGTAATAAAAGTACCGTATTTCATGAAAAATGTGATAATAAGGGAGCTACTATTGTTATAGTAAAAATTACAAATTCGGAACAAATAGTTGGAGGATATAATCCACTTAATTGGGATTCAAGTAACTCATGGAAGTTTACTTATGATAGCTTCTTATTCTCATTTACGGATAGAAATAATTTTCACAGCGCGAAAGTAGGTTATAGTTATGGTGATGCACACTCTATAGGTTGTCATTGTTATGGCAATTATGGTCCAATGTTTGGTTATAGTGATCGTGGAAAGGATTTTAATTTTTATAGTAATACTTGGTATAGCGATGTGAATCATTGTTATCCTAATGTAGATATACCAAAAAAGTTTAAAGCAGATGATTATGAAGTTTTTCAAGTTATTAAAAATTAGGTATAATTATAGTTTAGATATGTTCTTGTAATGACAAATAAGAACGAATTATCTTTAGCGTTCGTATTATAGCGATGATGATACCCATTTTATAGGTTGTTATTGAAGTAAGTTGTGTTTGGTAATGGTGCTGATGTTCACACAGTTTTAAAGCGGACGAAAAAAGGAGATTTAAAAATCAAAACCTGTGGAAGCTCAATATCCTGTAGTAGCCGAAGAGACGATATATATATATATATATATCCCAAAGACTAATATTTTTACTCAACAAAACATTAATCTAATTAATCTTATGTTCCCGTGGGGAGATACTTGTTGGTATAGAATGTGGATATACCAGCAAGGTTAAAGCAAGTTGTTAAAAATTAGTGTAATTATTATAATTATAGTTTAGATATGTACTTGTAATGACAAATAAGAACGAATTATCTTTAACGTTCGTATTATAGCGATGGTGATACCATTATATAGGTTGTTATTGAAGTAATAGTTATGTTGTGTTTGGTGATGATGCTGATGTTCACACAGTTTTAAAGCGGACGAAAGAAGGAGATTTAAAAATCAAAACCTGTGGAATTATAGCGATGATGATACCCATTCTGTAGGTTGTTATTGAAGTAATAGTTATGTTGTGTTTGGTGATGGTGCTGATGTTCACACATTTTTAAAGCGGACGAAAGGAGGAGATTTAAAAAAATCAAAACCTGTGGAAGCTCAATATCCTGTAGTAGCCGAAGAGACCATCCCAATGACTAATATTTTGACTCAATAAAACATTAACCAAATTAATCAATATAAAAAACCACGTAATACCGGATAAAATTGCAAAGGAATTTATGTTCTTGTGGGGAGATACTTGCTGACATAGCGATGTGAACCGTGCTTATCCTAATGTAGGTATACCAAAAAAGTTAAAAGCAGATGATTACGAAGTTTTTTAAGTTATTAAAAAGTAATGTAATTTTTTAATTAAGATACTAGATTATATATTTATAAGTATTAATGTATAATGTGATGTGACCCGCAGCAATATTGAATGATCAGCAAAATTCGGAAATTACGTGTGACCTGTGTTTCATGAAAAAGAATATCAATATCATTAAATTTTTTCTCTTTCTAAAAAAAAAAATGTCTTTTGAATGTCCTCAAGAAGTTATTGGTGATTTGGAAAAATTACTTACTGATGAAGAATATGAGGAATATGATGTTATCATCCGTACAGGAGAAAATGAAAAAGAAATACATGCACATTCATTTATATTACGTATAAGATCTCAATATTTTCGTACGGCATTCTTTAATAAGTTATATGAGAAGAAGGATGGAAAATTTATTTTTAAAAAACCTGACATTCCACCTCAATTATTTGAAACAATTTTAAGGTAATATAAAATTTACATGAATACTGTAAGACATATTTATGTAAAATTAAATAACACAATAATTTTTTTTTTTTTATATTTAGATTTATTTATTGTGGAAAAGTTGATTTAACGAAATTACAGGGACTAGATATTCTAAAACTTTTGATGGTAGCGAATGAAATTAACATTCCAACCCTAATCCACTATATTCAAGAATACTTGACTAAACATCAATACGAATTTTTACAACAAAATCCTATCGAAATTCTTGAAACAGTATATCAATATGAGACTTTTACTCAATTACGGAATTTTTGTCTCGAAAAGATTTGTGTGGAACCAGACATATTATTTAAATCTGATCAATTTATTAGTCTAAAAGCGCCTTTATTAGAATTATTTTTAAAACGTGATGATTTGTTGATGGATGAAATCATTATATGGGAAAGTTTAATTAAATGGTGTTTGGCCCAACATACTAATATTTCACAAGATCCTACACAATGGAACAAAGAAGAAATCATAATTATGGAAAGAGCTATTCATAGATTTATTCCATTAATAAGATTTTACTATATCTCTTCGAAAGATTTTGTTACTAAAGTATATCCTTTTAGAGAAATAATGCCAAAAGATTTAATTAGTAATATACTCATATTTCGTATGGCTCCAGATGAGAAAATAAACGTAGATATACATGTACAACCTCCTAGACAATTAACAAATAACATCGATTCCATTATAATTAATCAAAAACATGTTGCAATTTTTGCAAATTGGATTGATAGAAAACTATGTAAATTCAAACTTTTATATAGAGCTAGCAGAGATGGTAATACAAATACCGCTTTTCATGAAAAATGTGATAATAAGGGAGCTACTATTGTTATAGTAAAAATTAAAAATTCGGAACAAATAGTTGGAGGATATAATCCACTTAATTGGGATTCAAGTGGCGAATATAAATTAACTTATGATAGCTTCTTATTCTCATTTACGGATAGAAATAATTTTCACAGCGCGAAAGTAGGTTATAGTTATGGTGATGTACGCCCTATAGGTTGTCATGGCAGTCATGGTCCAATTTTTGGTTATAGTGATCGTGGAAAGGATTTTAATTTTTATGGGAAGACTTGGTTTAGCGATGTGAATCATTGTTATCCTAATGTAGATATACCAAAAAATTTTAAAGCAGATGATTATGAAGTTTTTCAAGTTAATAAAAATTAGTGTAATTATTGTAATTATAGTTTAGATATGTGCTTATAATGACAAATAATAACGAATTATCTTTAATGTTCGTATTATAGCCATGATGATACCCATTTCTATAGGTTGCTATTGAAGTAATAGTTATGTTTGTGTTTGGTGATGGTGCTGATGTTCACACAGTTTAAAGCGGACGAAAGAAGGAAATTTAAAAGATCAAAACCTAACCTGTGGAATTATAGCGATGATGATACCCATTCTATAGGTTGTTATTGAAGTAATAGTTATGTTGTGTTTGGTGATGATGCTGATGTTCACACAGTTTCAAAGCGGACAAAGGAAGGAAATTTAAAAAAATCAAAACCTGTGGAAGATCAATGTCCTGTAGTCGCCGAAGAGACGATCCCAAAGACTAATATTTTGATTCAACAAAACATTAATCAAATTAATCTTATGTTCCCGCGGGGATATACTTGCTGGCATAGCGATGTGAACCGTGCTTGTCCTAATGTAGATATACCCAGTAAGATTTAAAGCAGATGATTATGAAGTTTTTCAAGTTGTTAAAAATTAGTGTAATTATTACAATTATAGTTTAGATAGCTTGTAATAACAAATAAGAACTAATTATCCTTAACGTTCGTATTATAGCGATGATGGTACCATTCTATAGGTTGTTATTGAGGTAATAGTTATTTTGTGTTTGGTGATGGTGCTGATGTTCATACAGTTTTAAAAGCAGACGAAAGAAGAGATTTAAAAATCAAAACCTGTAGAAGCGTAGTCGCCGAAGTGACGATCCCACAGACTAATATTTTGACTCCACAAAACATTAATCATCACGTGATACCGGAAAAGGAATTATATTCCTGTGGGGAGATACTTGCTGGCATAGCGATGTGAATCATTCTTATCCTAAAGTAGATATACCAGTACATTTTGAAGCAGACGAATATGAAAATTTTAAAAATAAAGCATGGTACAAATCGGTTAAAGAACCAATCAACATTTATAAAATTATACAAAGATAACGGGATATCATAACTCTTATTTTTGTCACTATTGAGTAGTAGTGATCAGAATTACAATAACACAGGAATAATTTCTTCAAAATCTTTCAGATGATTGGAAGTTAAATATTCGTAATATTCGTTTATTTGAGAATAGAATCATTGCGCTAGTTGAACTTTTTACTTGAAAAAAATAAAACCGTTCCAAAACAAAATCTATTGTATCATGATCAAGTTTTTTTAATGACGCATTTTATTTAAATTTGTCGATAATTATTTTAATATGGTGTTAATATAAGGATAATTGTAATATCTTTTACAATTAAATTAAAATCATTGAACAATTATAATCATTAGATAAATTAATTAAATAACTTCTATCAATTTCTGAGATCTATTAGATTTCTTATTTCCATAAAAATACATAAAAAAGAAATAAAGTTTCCCAAAAAAACTAATACATAATGTAACAGAACTTGAGATAAGTGAGAGAGTGGGTATAATTGTATAAACAATGGTATCTCTTTTATAATAGATCTATAATAAAAAAGAATATTAATTCATTTTAAACATTTTTTTTTTTAATTAATAATAATAATAATATATTTTTTTACCTGAATAATAAATTGTGGGATATCTTCCAAAAAAATATTAATACAACCAGCCCAAAATACTATTCTTGATATTCTACTTGATAATGGAGGAGCAGAAAAAGCGTTAAATCCAGCAATTTTAGATGATAATATATGAAGAGCTTCAACATCAGCACTTGATAATATTGTAAACATTGATATAGTAAAACCATGTTTTTTACACCAATTATTAAAGTCATCATTATGAATCATTTCTTGAATTAATGAATAAGTAGTCATCATCGTATTAAATACGATTGGAATTATAACCGATAAAAGACTAAAATAAATAAATAATATATAATTTTTTTTGTTATAAACGACTCAGCAACAATAATAACAATGATGATGATGAATTAGATGAATTACCTGAAAACAAACAAATGAGGTTTTTCAGGTATACCCATGATAATAAACATAATATCTAAGACTAAATCAACTATAATAATTACGATTTTTATGATCGAATAATTATTACCCTAATTAAATGGTTGATAAGAATATAAATTTAGTGTGTATAAAAAACAGATATAAAATATATTTAAAATCATACCTCACGATATTTATAATTTGCAAAAACTATCATACAACCCACAATTACGATTAAAAGTCCAAGAGCGATCATATGATATCCATACGTCATCCAAAAATCAGCTATTATGAAATGAAATATTGCAAATAAAAATACAGTAAATATAACTAATATAACTGATAGTAAAAATATACTTACGCAACGGATTAGCACCATAACTAGTATCCAAAAATCTTGTAATATTACCATTTGATAACAAATTATATTTCTTTTTTTTAATTAATTCATCTAAATCTTTTAATACAGAATCTGTACTTCTCTCATTAGCGTTATTTGTAAAAGTTGGTTTAATGGTAGCAGAAAATAATATATTATTATCTTTATATTCATTTTGAATTTTTTCTTGTATTTCTAATCTTTTAGGATCAATTGGTATTGCTTGAACCAATTCATTTTTGAGTGTTTGAATAAGAAGCTTACGATCTTCTATTGAATCAATTTTTTTATAGTTTTCTTTGTTAAGTTTTAAACGAGAAGTAATTGAGACTTGATCTACAAAATGCGATAATATTGTTTATAAATGTATCCGGTATTAAATAAAATATTTCATGAACTTTTTCAAGAAAAAAAATTTAAATACCTGCTGGTTTATCTGGAGTTTCTAAAGCTAGAAAAAAAGACATAAAAAAATTAGATAATAATATTCGAACAATGGGTCGCGTTTAACTCACCGACAATTACTAACGACATAAAAACTTACATATGTTAAAAGTCCAAATTCTTTCTGAAATTCCTAATAAAGGTTCTTCATTAGATTGAAGTTTAACAAAATCATCATCCACTTTAATTCCATATTTGACATTAGTCTGATGCAATGCACTGACAAATATTTTTATTGAAACTGCCGTTTCATTAAATAATCGACAATGATCAGATCTACCGGAGACTCTCTGTCTTAAAATAACATCATCATTTAAATACTGATATAATGTGATATTTCCATAAAATAGCAAAATTGGTTTATTATAATTTATAATAAAATCGATTTGTTTTCTAGATGTACTTGATATTTTAATAGTTTCGTTTATTTTTGGGTATGTGCCATTAATACTGGGATTTTGATAAATGAAACGAGAATCTAATAAAAATAAAAAATAAAATAAAAAGAATTAATTATTGAATCACATAATATACATAATATTAATATAAAACATAAAATATTATACTGTACCATAATCATTAATTAAATTCAATGAATAATAATTTATATTCCACGTCTGATCATCGCTACAATTAAAAAACCATATATATAATTGTTTTTGCATAACGAATGATTTAAGTTTAGAATGTTCTATATTATCATAAAAAGGTAAATGTAATTTATTTTTAATATTATTATTGTTATCAAGAACAATCAATGATTTATCATTTTTTTTCGAGTATTGTCCTATATAACCACCATAAAATAATGGCGTAGCAATGAAATCATTATCGGTAATATTAAGGTTGATATTAATTAAAGATACCGCGCCATTTGATAAAAAATGGATTCGAAAAGTATTGTAACTTCCAGAATTTAAAAATTGGTCTGATTTTATTTTATTAAAAGATTCTATGAAATCATAAGTATAACCCGATCCATCGAAAAAGCTTACACAACCTAAAAAATTAAATAATTTTTAATATAATGACGAGGATGGTAATAATATTATTTGACATTACCTCCTCTAAGTAATCCTAATGATAGCAGCTCACTTTTTTCTGAACTTGACGAATGAAGTAAAAATTGTTGATGTGGTAATATATCATTAAAATATATAACATAAATTTCATCAATTGAATTTTTATTCCTAAATTCTTTGTTATGAATTAATTTAGTTCTCATAAAAATTATAGCAGCGTAACCTCCTTCAACCAGTGAAAAAGGATCAAAACTAAAAATATAATAAAAAAGGTAAATGATAAATAATTTTTATTATAATCAAATTAACAAAATTTTTACTTACAAATTGCGTATAATAGTTTTGTCATTAGGCACATTATATGTTTTATCTTCTCTCTTTAGCGATGCATTATTTCTAAATAGCCATTAGCGTTAGATTTAGTATGAAATAAGTATTACGTGTCAGTTCATCACAGTAATAAATAAACAGAAGCGATACGTACTGGTCGATAGTAAATTTCTTCCATACTAATGTTTTATTGTTCGTTAATTCCATTATGGAAAAGTCTTGTTTTGAATTATGAGGAACGGTGATCTTATATTCATCCAATTCAAGTATGCTAAAATAAATTTATTAGTGCTATTATACAGTATTTTAAAGCATATATATTCCCGATAATACCTGACTATTTTTTTGTCCCATGACACAATGATTTGTTTTTTTCTTTCTGACTTATCAACAGATTCTATAAGAACATATCCTTCTATTAATGCTTTTGGATTTAAAGAACAAGCATCTGAATCTTTACTTTTTTTACATCTAGGAATGAAATCAGGCTGTGAACTACAATCAATTTCAATCGATTGAATTGTTTCATCATTAAAAATAATTCGCAAATGAATAGTTGTATTATTTATTATTTTATTAGTACTTTTTTGAGTAAAAAGTAAAATAATTGTTCCATCATTATATGTGTCTGAACCATCTAAATGAAGGTTGGGTAAATCCTCATGATTATTTATAGTTTTTAATGCAATCGGAGGTTCTGATGCGAATATAGGGAGTAATGATAATAATATCATTATAAGTAACCATAATGTTTTATTGAGAATAACCATTTTTTTAAATGAAAGAATATTTTTTATAAATGAAAGAATAATTTTTTAAAAAACGAAAGGAAGAAAGAAGAATAATTTTCATATTTTTCTAAAAAAAAAACGACGATTTATAAATCCAAAAGAAAATCACGATGCTCATTATTTTTACATTTTTGGAAACAAGGAATTTCTTTTTTTATAAGGACTCGACATTACAAAAAATAACTCTCAACTTTGAACGTGTAACCAAATTTATTATGTTGGTGTACATTATTAATATTATCTTGTTAAACATTGAAAACATCGAAATTTATAATATGTATCAGATTTTTTACACATGATAAATCTGGTAACTACGGATTAACTAGTTATTCGGTGATTAACCTCCGAAAATCGCAAGGGTTAACATTGCATTCTTGTTTTTCAAATGATCGACATATTCATTAAAATTAACAAAGACTCAAGTTTCACAGTGTAATTGAATTAATTTATAATTAACTGTGCATTTTTTAATTTTGTAACATTTACAAAATCTTGTACTTTCTTAAGAATGATAAAGTACTACAAATGCAGGCGACCCTAAAAGTCCATTGTATTCCGCTCATAAAAATTACGCATAAGCCACAACCAATAGATCCAATCGTAGTAATGCAGCAAAAACAAAAAGAAAGTATATTTATTATTTTTAGTCTACGATTTGAACATAAAACAAGTTCCACATTTTTTTTTTTTTTTAAAAAAAAACCTCCGGCTGTGTCCAATCGATAAATTTAGTTTTCGCCTAAATTTAATAAAAATTAATGTAGTGATTTTTACACAGGGATAATTACATTATAATATGTAATACTGTATTTATAATATTTATATTAAAATCACTTTCTCCATTCTTTCCACATTAACAAAATAAGATAAAACCGAAAACAGTTAACAAAGTGTTAAAACGATGTATTAATATCTTAATGTTATACCTGAATAATTAAAAAGGAAATAAGGATACGTAAAGCGTCAGAATTTTTCGTCTACACTACATTTTACAGTACAAGATATATTGTAATAATGGTCTAGATTCGGGATATCCGATAGATGTTAATGTAATACACAAAAAAAAAAAAAAAAAAATTTATTGTAAAAAAACCAAATATTTCGTCTCATTTATTTGACATCATTCTTAGGTATTTACGCAGTAATATATTTTTTTTTTTTTTTTGTTTAAAATTATCGTCTATTAAATTAAATTTCTCATGAATAATATGCTCATTGGGAATGATGCTTTTTATGTTTTACGTAAAATATTATTTCTTAAATAAAGCGCACCGCATCGTCCGCATGATGTCTAATTGTAACATGCCAAATGACTACTGATCGGGTACCATAAAATATAATTACATGATCTTATTAATTCTACACGGTCTACACGTTGATCTTCAAAATATTTATATAAACTCGCTCCACTATAATAATTCCGCTTTTACGAGGATAATCTCACAAAGGTAACGAATTACGATCAAGGATAATCTCACAAAGGCAACATATCTTAAATGCAATAAATAAGTTTTCTTCTGAAGCACACATTGTGCGATGTTTATTAACAAAGCCGCACGTTATTTACTAACTAAAACATTTTTTTTTATTATCTAGTTTCAACGTCTGTGAAGTTAAATGGACCTTTGGGATTTATTTTACTTTTCATTTGCGAACATGTTATTCTTGAAATTTTCCATCATCATGGTATGGTTGAAATTGAGCAACTTAGATAAATTCTATGATAATTGTTCTAACTATGAGGTACCAAAAATTAGTAGAGGAACTAAAGGGAAATGTGCATTAGGACTGGTTTTTCTGAAAGAAGGTTAACGCTTCTATTATATAATCGAATTAGTATGATTCTTAAACAATACTAATACCATTTCTTAGTCCTCTCCTATGTTGTTCTTGAAATTTCTTTATCATTCTGATAAGTTGAAACTACCAAACTATAATAATTGAAGGAAGCATAATTTTTTGTTTGTGTTATGGGTATTCGGGAAAAAACCCCTAATGTTCCCCTTCCCATGAAATAAATGGGTAAATCCCCTGGAGCGTGTCACTCATTAAATATTAACTATTTTAAACTTAAATATTTTACTGAAACTAAAATTAGCAATTTCCCGGCTATCTATATGAGGCCGGGAAATAAGTAAACGAAGATTCCCGGTCATTTATAAACTCAGCTAATCACTCGCAATTTTTAAAAATTAGTATGAGTGACACTTAATGCGACAGGGGTTACCAGACGCACAAATCTGGTCAAAATTATCATTTGAAATCTAATTTTCATAGTTCCATCCATCCCTATTCCCAACTAATAATATTTTTGCAGTGATCACTTTTTCACTTATTTGCTACAAAGATTACAGGGCGGTGAAAAAGAAATCAATGATAAAGTAAAAAGGGGAGACCAGTGATCGTACTATTATTAGATATACAGTCAGTCAATATAACGCTAACGAATTTCACGTTAACCGATTTTTACATTTTAAGTTAGGTACAGTAATTTATTTGTTGTTACATTTTTGGTTACTTTGATCACATGAACACATAATTGAGTCAACTAAAATTAGTTAAATCACCGTCGTTCATAGGTTAGGTACGAACAATATATAAATTTAATTCAATTCATTTATACCAATGATAATATTAATGGCGTTTATTGGTCAATAATAATACAATATTAATCAAAAACTAGCTTGTTTAATGGTTAATGCGATACAATATGAAAAAGAAAAGTAACGAATGTTAATAAGTAAATATTAAAAAGGTTACTTCATAAAGTAAATTTTTATTACGATTTTATTCCGCTTTATCATTTATCGATTATCGCTGAACTAATAATGCAAAAAAGATAGGAATAAAGCCTTGAGCGATAATTAATTAATTTTTTGTTAGTGATCACACATGGTTCTTTTTCCCATCAAATTTTATCGATGAATTGTCAAAATGAACAAAAAATATTCTATGCTTAATAATTCACATGTTATTCCGTCATATGTTGATTTTACGTAAATCATATATTACGTAAATATGTCATAATTAATTTGGTGGTTTTACGCCAAATCACGTAAATCTATTAAGTCCGATCCCTCTCTATATGAAATTACCACAATCTTTGTGGAACGTCGTAAATCTTACGCTATATTTTTTTCGTAAATTAATTGATCATATATATATTTACGTACTAATTACATGTGAAATGGTGTAACCTCATATCCTTTTTATGCGTAAAGTCGTCGATTAAAAAAATTTTGTTCAGTAAAAAACATGGCTTTTGAGGAAATTATTAACGATTATGAAAAATTACTTGAATCTGGTGAAGAACATAATGTTGTTATTTACGTTGGTGAAAATGAAGATGTAGAAGAAGTACATGCACATTCAAATATATTACGTATCAGATCTCAATATTTTCGTACCGCGCTTTCTAACGAATCAGCCAAGAAAAAGGATGGAAAATTTACTTTTAAAAAGCCCAATATTTCTCCTCAATTTTTTAAAATTATTTTAAGGTAATCTTAAAAAAAATTTTATAAATGAATTATTATATTTTATGAATGTTATATATGAAAATAAACATAATTTTTTGTAGATTTATTTATTGTGGAAAGATTGATTTTACGGGATTAGAAGGACCAGATGTTCTAAAGCTTTTGATGGCAGCTGATGTATTTAAAATCCAATCATTAAGTAATCGTATTCAAGAATATTTGATTAAACATCAATTTGAATTTTTACAAAAAAATCCTTCAGAAATTCTTGAAATAGTATATCAACATGAAACCTTTACAGATTTATGGGATTTTTATCTTGAAAATATTTGTTTAGAACCAGAAATATTATTTGAATCTGATAAATTTCTCAATTTAAACGTACCTTTATTAGAATTAATTTTAAAAAGAGATGATTTATCATTGGATGAAAGTGTTATATGGGATTATTTGATAAAGTGGTGTTTTGCTCAGAATCCTTCTATTGAAGAAAATATTAAGAAATGGAATAAAGATGACATCACATCTATGGAAAATACTCTTAATGGATTCATTCCTTTAATTAGATTTTATCATATGTCTTCAGAAGATTTTCTTGATAAAGTATATCCTTTTAAAGCATCACTACCTGAAGATTTAATTAATAGCATACTTGCATTTCATATGAAGAAACAAACCGTTGATATGCAACCTCCTAGAAAATTAAAATCTTCTTATGATTCAATTATAATTGAACCTCAACATTTTGCTATTTTTTCTAATTGGATCGATAAAATTGATAAAAGGGATAATTCTTATTATAATATAAGAAATATTCCTTATGATTTCAAATTAATTTATCGTGCTAGTAGGGATGGTGATACAACTGAAGCATTTCATTCTAAATGTGATAACAAAGGAGCTACTTTAATAGTAGCAAAAATAAAAAATTCTAAACAGATAATTGGAGGATATAATCCATTATCTTGGAATTCAGAAAATAAATATATGTCAACTTTCGATAGTTTCATATTCTCTTTTATAAACAAAGATTATCTTCAAAGTGCTAAAGTAGGTTATAGTAATGGTAATTCAAGATCTATTGGTAATTATTTATCATATGGTCCAATATTTGGTAGTGGTAACGATTTACGTTTTTATAATGGTATATGGTATAGTGATAATATAGGTTCTTATCCTAAAATAGGTATACCAAGAAAGTTTAAAACGGATGATTATGAAGTTTTTCACGTTATTAAAAATGGTCATAGTTAGTACATATATTGGAGGGTTCGTTGTATCAAGGGCCGTAAATTGTGACATAAATCATTTTGAACATTTACTATTATTATCTAAAATCATTCACAATCTTCAGTATGAACCGAACTTTGATATATGAAAATAAAAGGGTTTACTGTATGCAGTAAAATATTTATTATATATTCACTTTTTTCAAGTAAATAACGCGCAATACTTAACAATCTACGCTATAAGTCATTTTTTGTACATATCAGATGTTAATTATTGTGTTAAATTAGCGGCGTAGATTAAAAATTTTATATGACGCGAATAATGTCAAAATAAATTTAGATCAAGAATTTTTTCTAGATCCTTACATTATTCTCTGGCGGACTACGGACTACCATTTAAGGTTTACGTTAATTACGTAACAATGTTAAAGCTTTACGTGATATCCTATCTGAATTGGTGAAGCCTCATCCTTTTTATGCGTCTTTCGATTATCTTCAAGAGATTATTAATTACGAATACAAATGCTCTTATTTACGTTGATGAAAATGAAATATAGAAGAAATATATGAAATATTTATTAGATCACAATATAATTCGTACAACACATTCAACGAATGAGCCAAAAATTTTACTCCTCAATTTTCTAAAATCAAAATTAGTATTAGATTTATTAATTATTGACGGTAGGATCCATGGGATCCGAACCCATAACCTTTGCGTTATCAGCACAACACTCTAACCAATTGAGCTAAGCTTGAATGGCTAGATACGGCCAATCATGTGTTTAGGATATTTATTTAAACGTCAATTTTCTAATTGACTATTTGTATTTAATACTCCCTCAATAAATAAATACTTTAGACTAATTCTATATTAGCGGTTTTATCATGTGATCTGTTCGATAAACTCTAATTTAGTGTAACGCCCATATGACAATATATATTAGCTTTTTTTTTAAAAAAAAATTTTTGTTTAAAAATGTCTTTTGACTTTTCGCAAGAGCTTTCTATTGATTGTGAAAAATTACTTGAAACTGACAAAGAATATGATATTATTATTCATGCTGGTGAAGATGAAAATGTAGAAGAATTTCATGCTCTTTCAAATATTTTACGTATTAGGTCACAATATTTTCGTACCGCACTATCTAACGAGAAAAAAAATGGAAAATTTATTCTTGATATACCTCATATTTCCCCTCAACTTTTTAAAATTATTTTAAGGTAAAATTATTTTCGTATTCATATAAAAATTGAATATCAAAATTATATTATTAATGATTAATTATCAATATTATTAATTAGATTTATTTATTGTGGGAAGATTGATTTGAAGGAATTAGAAGGATCTGATCTTTTAAAGCTTTTGATAGCGGTGGATCAACTTAAAATTCAATCATTAATTCGATGTATTCAGGAATACTTGATTGAGCATAAACGAGAGTTTTTGTTAAAGAATCTTATAAACATTCTTGATACAATTTATAAACACGAAAATTTTACAAATTTATGGAATTTCTGTCTCGAGATAATTTGTAAAGAACCTGAAATATTATTTAATTCTGATAGACTTAACAATTTAAAGTCGTCTTTATTAGAATCGCTTTTAAAACGTGATGATTTATTATTGGATGAAATTGTTATATGGGAAAACTTGATCAAGTGGAATTTTGCTCAGCATCCTTCTATTCAGAAAAACGTTAAGAAATGGAATAAAGAAGAAATTGCAATTATGGAGAGCACTTTTAAAAGGTTTATTCCCTTAATTAGATTTTACCATATATCTTCAGAGGACTTTCTTGATAATGTATATCCTTTTAGAGTTTTACTACCTGAAGATTTGATTAATAACATACTTGCATTTCATATGAAGAAACAAAATATTGATACACAACCACCTAGAAAACCAAAACCTGCTTATGATTCAATTATAATTGAACCTCGACATTTTGCTATTTTTTCTAGTTGGATCGAAAAGAAAGACAATTCTTATCATAATGTAAAAAACAATCCTTATGATTTCAATTTGCTTTATCGCTCTAGTAAAGATGGTGATACGCTTGCAGCATTTCATTCTAAATGTGATTATAAGGGAGCTACTATAGTTATAGCGAAAATTACAAATTCAGAACAAATAGTTGGAGGGTATAATCCACTTTTTTGGGATTCAAGTAGTACATATAAGTCAACTAAAGATAGTTTTATATTCTCGTTTACAAATAAAGATGACTTCCAAAGTGCAAATGTAGGTTATAGTAATGGTGTAAATTCTATAGGTGGGTTTCCGCCTAATGGTCTAATATTTGGTGGTGGTGGAGGTTGTCATTTAGCTTTATATGTTAATGGTTGGTATAGCAATGCAAATGCAAATAATAAAAGTTATCCTAAAATTGATATACCAGAACAATTTAGCGTAGATGATTATGAAGTATTTCAAGTTATTAAAAAACATTCATGTTAATGTAATTGGAATATATGTACATGTAAAAGAACGTTGTGATTTCAATATAATTTTGTATTATAAAATTATTACATTAAAATAAAAAAAAAAAAGATATACATATACTGTATTTATCCTTATAATGTTTCGAATATTCGTTGGGAATTCAGGTGACTATATATGAATCAATCGTTGATTATTCTGGTCACCATGATTTTAGATACTTGTTTGTGAATTCTCGATTATTTCTCATATTTACTGATGATGGATGATAGAACTCGTTTGTATACATAGATATCTGTGTATAACGCCAACTTGTAACGATTGTAAAAGATATAATTATTTTTCTTTAATGATTTTTTTGTTCAATTATTCAATTATTGAAATTATTGATGATTCTTTTTATTTGGAGTCTTGAATAAGTTCGTTCTCGTGAAATTATCGTCGTTTGATCGAATAAGTTCGTTCTCGTAAAATTATCGTCGTTTGATCCATTTCTGATCGGAACCTATTTTTATTAAAATCAACAAAATCAAAATTTTTCCTTTTTTCTATTTTTACGCTCCATCATTTTCATTATCAACTATATTTTTTTCGTCTTAATCTAATAATTCTTCTAATAATCTAAAATTCCTAATAAAATTATTAATTTAGGCTTTGAATTGATTTTTCAGATTTTCATATCAATTTTTTATTATATGATAAAAAAGATCTCAGGATCAAATTCAAAAAAAAAAAAATAAATTACTTAAGATTACGCGGCTACTAAAATCTATAAATATACCCATTATCTATTATTATCCTAAAATTAGATTTTTATTCTTGTAAAAAAAAAATAAAAATAATAGTATGATAACTTCTATATTCGAGAAGAAAAAAAATTACATATTATTATCACAAATTAATTATTTTCTATCACTTACAACATTCGCATTTTCCTCTTTATGAGCTATCATAATCATCACCATCAGAAGGCATATTTCCAATAGCATCAATAGCTGCAACAAATCTTTTACTGACAATTGATCTCTTTCCATCTAAATTATAAAATGGGTTACAGACTTGATTGATATATGCATTATGAATTCTTTTAAATAACTGTAATTAAAAAATTTATTAAAAAGTTAAATAATTATATCATTATATAAATAACAATAATAGTAATAATAATAAATTAACATACATTCTTCATATCTGTATTTTTAATTGCATCGGTAACGGAAAGAACCACCACGAATTTCACTCTAGTATTCGTTATGTATCCATATCTAAATAAAAAAGAAAATAAATAAATAAAATTATCTTTTCCTTTTTTTAAAAAAATAAAAAAGAAAAAAAATGAATTTATTTGTTTTAAAACTTACACATCTAAATCCTCCATTGCATATAATAATCCAAGATAAGTATCAGCTGCTTCAGATCCGACGGCACCAACTGAAAATACATACGTACGAAACACCATGAATTAGAACATATTTTAAAACAAATATATCCTCTCCCCCAAAGATTTGTCCATAAATTCAAACCTCTTTCTTCGATAACATCACAAGATGTATGAGCAATATAATGATACTTTAAATCAGGATGAGATAAACTAAAATTTTTAATATATAATGGATTATTCTTATATAAATAAAGAAAATTAGAAAAAATTTAACGACAAAATTTGAACAGAAAATTTAAACATTTTAATTTTATTCATTTACCTGTTTACCAATTATAGCGATACTTTGTATTTTTATATTACTCATTTTGATTAAACGCAAAGTTGTAAAAAATAAAATTATTTTTCGAGTTAATTTATGCATGCAGATCACATGAACATATTTATCATGTGACTTAATTTTCGATGATCTTTAAAAATCTTTTGCGCGTTTCTGACACCCACATGAAAAGATCAATTACCGATCTGGTTATAAATGGAACACTGAACCGATTGTGCTGTTCGACGATTTATAATCGCTTATCAACTGCTAAATTTGCTAGCGGGATGTCTGAAATTAATTATTTTACGAGCACGAAATAGTCAAAGTATCTTTCAAAATTAAAAAAAAACCGTAGTGCATCATTTAAAATAGTGCTTAGGACTACTATGAGATACTGGTTGTTACTGAGAAAAATTAAATCAATTATTAGAATGGTTGTAAGTAATGAATTTTAAATGGACTATCTAATGAAAGAATGTATTATTTAGTATTGTTATACTAATAACGCATTGTAATTTAAATCCGTATATTATCATTATGTTTGTAACTCAACTTATTAAAACTAAAAAAAAAAGTTTTTTTACCCGGAATCAAGACATACTGAAAACTTTTTAATCAAAGATTACTCGAGTTATTACAAGAAGGAAGATACGTTAATAGAAAGAACTGTCAGTATAAGTTTTCACTTTGCATTTCAAATAATAGTTAAAAAATAAAAATAGCGTCTTCTACATGCTTTATTCACTTGAATTTTATTTATTGATTTATTTAAATTTTGATAATTTATAAATATAAATACATTCTTTTAATATACATGTAAGCAACACCGACTTTACTAACAAATTTAATCTGATTATTTTTTAATAACTTGAAATACTTCATAATCCACTATTATATTATTAAGATCTTTTGGAATATCAAGATTTGGATAAGAATATTGATTAATATAACTCTTATTAGAGTGACTAATATGTAAATCATGACCACCACCAAATGTTGGTCCATAATTTTGGTTACAATATATAGCATTGTCGTGATATGCATATATATAACCTACTTTTGCAGTTTGAAAATTTTTGTTTTTAAATGAGAATATGAAGCTATCTTGAGTATACATATAATTATTACTTTGATCCCAATAGAGTGGGTTGTATCCTCCAATAATCATTTCCGAATTTTGAATCTTCACTACAACTATAGTAGCCCCTTTATTATCACATTTTTCATGAAATGCTCCAGTTGTATTACCGTCTTTACTAATACGATAAAGTAAATTGAAATTATAAGGAATATTCTTTACATTATAATGAGAACCATTTTTCTTTTCAATCCAACTGGAAAAAATAGCAAAATGTTGATCCTCAATTATAACAGAATCATAAATGAATTTTGGTTTTCTAGGGGATTGCATGTCTATATTTAATTGTTTATTTGGGGCCATGTTAAATATAAGCATGTTGTTAATCAAATTTTTTGGTATTATTTTTTTAAAAGGATAAACTTTAATAACAAAATCTTCGGATGAAATATGATTAAATCTTATTAATGGAATAAATCTATGAATAGTTCTCTCCATAATTGTGATTTCTTCTTTATTCCATTGTGTAGGATCTTGTGAAATATTAGTATGTTGAGCCAAACACCATTTAATCAAACTATCCCATATAATAATTTCATCCAATGATAAATCATCCCGTTTTAAAAGCAATTCTAACAAAGGCGCTTTTAAACTGATAAATTTATCGGATTTAAAAAGTATGTCTGGTTCCATGCAAATCTTTTCAAGACAATAATTCCATAATTCTGTAAAAGTTTCATGTTGATATACTGTTTCAAATATTTCTATAGGATTTTGTTGTAAAAATTCATCTCGATGTTTAATCAAAAATTCTTGAATATAATGGACTAAGGTTGGAATGTTAATTTCATCTACTGCTATCAAAAGATTGATAATATCCGGTCCCTTTAATTTTGTTAAATCAACTTTTCCACAATAAATAAATCTGAACATTAAAACAAATGAAAAAAAAAAAAATTATTATACAGTCACTGCAGTATTTTAACTTTATAAATGTTGCTGAACATTACCGTAAAATGATTTTGAAGAAATTATGAGAAATATTGGGTTTCTTAAAAACATATTTTCCATTCTTTTTCTCAGCCCATTTGTTAGAGAATGCTGTACGAAAATATTGAGACCTCGTACGCAAAATATTTGAATGTGCGTATATTTCTTTTACATTTTCATTTTCACCAGCATAGATAATAACATCGTAATCATCGTCATTCATAAGTAACTTTTCTAAATCATTAATGACTTCCTGAGGACTTTCAAAAGTCATTTTTTTTTAAAGAAAAAAAAGATGAATGAAATCCCAAATTAGACGTTAAAATAATCATATCGGTTTAAAGTTTAACCGTCATCCCACAAATTGCTAATTTGGAGCAAATTATTTGAAATCACATGTCAATGGTTTATCTCTCCCTTCTTATACAACCAACTACTTACATAAGGCCCTTCAAGAAAAAATGACCCAAAAAAATAATAACATGTATTAATTTTATACTTGCGAATTCGAGTACATAATATTAAAGTAAAGTTTAGCGTCATATTAACATTTGCCCTCCACAATATTAAATTTGAATTCTTTCCACTTTGTTGCTAATGCATACAATCAAATACAATCAAAAGAGAGCCAAGTAGTAAAGAAAACCTTATCTGATCCAAAAACTTATGAAAGCTTGCTAAGAGAAACATGAAAAAAAAGAGATCCACAAAATTTGGGGGATTGATGGGGAAATAATTTGGGAAAGTCAATAAGAGCGAAATGTGAAGAAGTTACTGGAATAAAAAATAAAAAAATAAAAAATAAATTATATACTTAATTGCTTGGCCGTTGAGCAACCTGGCGTCGCCCGGAATAAAATAGTAGCCGGATTGATATGATCTACCCCAGTATCGCCAGAAAATTTTTTCACCCCCACGTGACTTTGGCCGGCATTATAAGATTTGGCTGGAATTAAGAAATTAACCATGTGTCGAATAACGTGTGACGAATAGGATTTTAGACACCGAAAAAAATCTAAGTCCCCAGAATACTTATAAAAAATGAGAAAGTGGAGGGATGTGACACGGGTGACAAATTATTTAGGGTCACGTGGGGGTGAAAAAATTTTCTGGCGATACTGGGGAAGATGATTGATATGCAGGGTTACACGTGACTTTGTTGGGTGAAATCGCAAATTTTTAGTATCAAAAAAATCATATAATAATAAGACAATAGAATTTGTATAGATAATTTGCACAATTCTTAATATAAAAGAATATAAAAGAATTCAAAAGTTATTTATTTCAAGTTTAATTATTATTCTCAATACATAGTACAGCATTATCATCACATTTTGGCAGTGCGTGTCATAATAGCAATATTCATTTTTTTCCAATGATTTGAAATTCAGGCACATTGGAATTTAACCTGAAAATACTTAAATAAAAATAAAGGAATTTATTTATTTTATAATAAATATATACTATACATTTCAAAAATAAAAAAATATTCTTAATCTGAGAATTTAACAAAATTAATATTTTTAATTAAATAATTGTATTAATTTCAGAAATAATAAATAAACTAGATAACAATTACTGCCATTATTCAATAGGTTCTGTTGTACTACTTGTTTGTTAATTGACTTTTGAGATTCCTCACTTTTGTTACTTCAAGGGGAATATTTACGTTTCGTCACTTTTAAAAGTAAAAAATGTGAAATTTTTTTTTTTAAAAAAAAAAGTCAAAAAGCAAAAGAGTGAGAAGAAAAAAGTTTTATCCTATATAACTTTTCATTATATAATCATACTAAAAGTTAAATAAAGTGTCTAAAATTTTGAAATTTTATGCATAATTATCATCAAAAAGTAATTATATCAGCATATTTAAATTAATCCGTAGTTCGGTCGGGCTATAAAATAGATATTTGGGAGTTAAAGAAGCGTCTACAATGGATAAAAATAAAGCCAAAGACCGATTATTAAAATTATTAAAAAACACAAGCACCTTTACTAGCGGAAATGAATGCTTACCAAAAAAGATTAAAGTTTGAAATCACGACCCATATTATAATATTATAATTTTATTATCTTTGTCATGAGATAAGAACATATAATTGACATTCATTTTTTTGGAAGCACCATCGCAAAAAAATAAAATAAATTTAAAGCTTCTTTCGTTTTTTAAGCCGTTCAAAAAGTCTCAGAAAGCACACTACAAAAAAAAAGTTCCATGAGAATTCCCACATATTGGACATTCAAAAGGTAAAAAGAAGTTTTACTAATATATTCAATGTAAATTTTGCTAACAAATCACAAATCTAGTTACGTTTCAGATAAATAAGTAAATGTTTTTTATTTATAATGAGTAAATTAATGCAGATTTCGGTTTATTACAAGTTAAAATGGTAAAAATTTAAAAAATCTTATAAATTTATTTGTCCTACTCCATCATTAAAAAGTCCAAAGTATAACATGCATTTTATTAGGCTACGGTACATTTCGCCGAAGGGACGTTTCGCCGAAGCCATTTCACCGAATCGTCCATTACATTTTCGCCGAAAGATAGCGATTATCATTTTTATAAAATTATTAATCGCGCAATGAAAATAGAAAAAATTTTATTTATTTATTTATTAAATTACATCAGGAACCTTAATAGATATTCTGATTTACACTCGAATATACAAATGACAAATGTATGAAATAAAACTTAGACGTTGAATAATATCTTCGATTCTTGATTGAGTACTTTAATATTTTCATTTTTTAGTTTCTATTTTACATTCTTTTGTCACGTCACCTATTTTTGCAATAAAATAAAAATTAAATAAACGTTTAAACAAAAAATTCTTTTTATTTTTAAGTGTCTTTTCTTCTATGATAATATCACTTTAACATTCAAGTAACTGATATTAATTGTTACGTAATAAATAAATAAATTTATTTTCCTGAAACGTTTAAATATTCACGAAAAAGTAATTATATTTTGTGTGTTATAGTCTTCTTATTTGTATAATATGTTTATTTATATATTTTTTTTTTAAAAAAAAAACTGATCGATTCTTCAATTAATTAAAAAATCAACAGAAAATCAAAAACTTCAAAATCATAAATGATAACTATAGGCTAATGTTCAAATCTATTTCTGATCAAGAAATTCACCAATCTAAGACTTCTTTCCATTCAGCGAAATGGCTTCGGCAAAATGTCCATTCGGCGAAATAACCATTCGGTCGGCGAAATGAAATTCGGTGAAATGGGGTTTCGGCGAAACGGTTTTCGGCGAAATGTCCTTATACCATTTTATTACAATATCGGAGGTCTATACAATTGTCCGAGCCCTACTGACAGTAAAAAAATAAACAACCAGTCATTTACCGCTCTATTATTTGCACTAGATTCATTATTCTCATTAGATTCTCTATTATTCGCGCTATACTTGTTATGTACTAAAATTGAAAGAATGATTGTATATAAAATTAAATGAATAAGTACTATTAACTCGAGGAACCTTGCAGCTTTATTTTCAACCTCCCACCATTTAAAGAATAAATAAATATTTATAGCGTGTAGAACTAAAGATTATGATATCGTCCAATGAATCTATAATCTTTAGTCCACTATCATTATTGCCATTACTATTAATACTGGGTTTATCATAGACTCGTTTAACTATAATGGCTACCGCGACTTCAGTAATGAAATCATCCCAGAAATCAAGATGACATCATTGAGAAAAAAAATTCGATCTATAAAACAATGAATATCTGTAATTATACTGGAACTTACGAGAAATTCACCTATTTTATATAATAAAAATGAAAAATGCCGATTATAATTGTAACGCTTATATTTTCGTTCGTAAAAAATTGTACAGCCAGTCCTCGATATAACGAACTCGCTTTATAACGAATTTTTCCAAGTGACATTTAACCAATAAAATACGTTAAATAACCAATTAAATTCTTTAAATTCTCCGCAGCGAATTTGAGGAGGGTTCATTTGACTGTAATTTATTGCCGTATATAGATTTATTCTGTATGATCATACCAAAACCTTAATGACAAAAGTGAATTATGATGTTATGCTGCCATAGCCAAAATTCCAGTATTGTGGGATATTAATAATAATAACATACATATCAACAGAAGAGATTATATATATTTTTTGTTAGTAACACAGTAGTAACACGCATTTAAAAATGTAAAAATAACTACATAGAGAAATTTATACAACTAATACTATGTTAAAACATAGTTGTAGGCACCTACTATACAATTCTTGAAAATAAACTATACTTTATTAAAAATATAAAACGATCTAACCAATCCTCCCCAAAACGTCTCCGAAGCAAAAATTAAGTCTTCTCTGATGTGGTACTTAGTCCAAGAATGACCAATTAAATCGTCTTATAATATTCGAATTATCCGTCCGAGAGTCGAACCGTATGTTGAGCCCGTTATTATTAACGTGATCCCGGAACAAAACTTATCTACAAAAAAGTCTGTCATAATTATTATATATATTACAGTATATGATGAAAACGATAGTGTTATTTAGTTGAAAGAATATCATACTTTGTAATTCGGACTCCTTCCAAACACAAATTTTATGTATTTTCTTTTTTGTTTTTGTTTCAGGTTGCTTCCAAAGATTATTCCAGTGGCACCAACAAAAATTTCGCGATCACGTAATGTTTGTCCACATTATGCAGTGACACGAATTTTCAGTTTAATGGTATTAAGCCATTTCAAGTTGAAAGTCTAAATAACGATCAAAGTATTTAATTTTTTGCTGCATCTAAATCTTTTTTATATAATATCCATATGCAACTAAATCTACATAAATTATTTCGTGTGAATTTTGTGAATTTGGAATAATAATAGTCTCCGCCATCATTGTTTCTGATACTTTATCTTTTGATAAAAAAGGATTAATTATTTGAAGTTTTTAAAATCTATAAATCTATTAAAGAAAACGCACATACCCGCAATGTTTTTTCTTTGTTTGTGACTTGGCTGATCGTCCAGCCTTCTAGGCGAAAAATTTTTTTTTTTTTTTTTTCATGCGACTCTCAGCCAACAGCCAATCAAGCCAACCATGTGTTAACACAGGAATATTCAAATAAAATTATATTAAATATTTTTGAAAATCTAATTTGACCATTAATAAATAAGCGTAAATGCAACAAAATGCAACCAATAAATTCAATAAATCCTGTTACGGTCCGGTTATAAACCAAATTTAGTAACAGTCTAACAATCATATGCCGGGCCGATCTTATAGCCGTCATGTTACCTGGTACAGTTAATATAATGAATATAGAATATATAGAAATTTTTGTTTGTACATTCGATAACAGCAACCGAAATTAAATAATAAAACTTAAAACAATAACAAAAGTTTTATGGCTTAAATTTTTGTTGTGTTTCACAATTTATTTATAAATATGGCTATCAGGCAAAGTACTTAAATTCTGACACAACAGAATGATTGATAAATTACTTTTATAAGAATGAAGACAATCAAATAATATAAATAATATTCTTTTATTAAATTACTCTTTAAGAAGTTATTACCAAAAATGTATAATAACTTTGATGCAGTGCAGTGTTTCCCTTTGTTAATTACCCGGTTTTAAATTGATCAACAGAATTTTCCATAACATAAAAAAGAATTCTTAAGAGAAAATAAAAAAAAGTCAGATGGTTACTTTAATAAATTATTTTTATCATATGGAGTTGATTATCATAATACTTTTGAATTATCTGTTATATAACACTGAATTTATTGACCCTCCCCCCTAATTAATTTATTTTTTCTTTCCGGAATTTTGAAATTATAAATTATTTTCTTTTGCTTGGATACATTAATATAATATATTCAATATGTCAACTAGCGAGACACTATCACTGGTTCCAAACTACTCTCCTGGTTATGGTTCAACACCAAATGGAGATACTCACAATACTCATAAACCATCATCATCTCAAACGGTTTTGCATACTTCCCCACCAACTCCAACTATTCGTAAATCTATTAAAATCGTACTTACTTCTTCTAAGATAAATATTTTGTTGATTTTTATACCACTCGGATATTTGGCTCATATATTTGATTTGAGTGATAATTGGGTTTTCATACTAAATTTTTTGGCTATAATTCCATTGGCTAAATTACTTGACTTTGCAACTGAAGAACTTAGTTTAAGAGTTGGTGAGGTATTTATCACTATTGAATTATTTAAATAAAATTCCAAATAAAACAAATAAAATAAAATTGTCTTTTTTAATAATTTCTTTCTTTTTTTTTATTTCAAGACAATTGGTGGATTTTTAAATGCTACTTTTGGTAATGCAGTGGAATTAATTGTTTCCGTAGTAGCACTAATGGAAGGTGAAATACGCGTAGTTCAAGCATCAATACTTGGGTCAATCATTTCAAATTTGCTATTAATATTGGGAATGTGTTTTGTTGCGGGAGGAATATATCATGAAGAGCAAAAATTTAATCAAACTGCTGCACAAACAACCTCAAGTTTGATGACTTTGGCGTGTATTGGTTTAATCATTCCCGCCGCTTTTAATTTTGCTGTTGGAAATAATAACCCTATCATTGATGATGGTATAACGAAAAGCGGACTTTTAGATTTGTCTCGTGGAACGGCAGTTGTTTTATTGATAATTTACATACTTTATCTTTATTTCCAAGTGAGTACTTTCATATATTAACCTTGTGACGCGTAATCACGAAATTTTGGTTAAAAAAAAAATATTTTTTTTTTTTGTTCCTTTTCTTGCTAGATGAAAACTCATTCAAACTTATATCAAGGAGAAGAAGAAGAAGAAGATAATGATCCTCAATTATCACTTGGTGTATCAATATTTTTACTGGCTTCTATAACAGTTATTGTTTCTTTCTCTGCTGATTATTTAGTTGGTTCAATTGAAGGAATTGTTGAATCCTCTGGATTAAGCAAGACCTTTGTCGGTTTAATTTTAATACCTATTGTTGGTAATGCTGCTGAGGTAAATTAATGATAAATTAAAATTAAATTTATTTGATTCGATCGAATTATTTTAATTGACACGTGACTTTCATAGTTTGTTACCGCTATTAATGCCGCGATGAGAAATAAAATGGATCTTGCCGTCAACGTTTCTGCTGGTAGTTCTATGGTAAATAATAGTATAGAAATGATTATTTATTTACATTCAACAATTTTAATTAAATAATATTTCCCTATTTAGCAAATTGCACTTTTCGTTACACCATTCCTTGTTCTACTTGGATGGGCAATAGGACAAGACATGTCATTATATTTTCAATCATTCGAAACTGTTGTACTATTTATTTCAATTTTGATAACAAATTATCTAATTCAGGTAAATAATATATATATATATATATTTTTTGCTATACACTTATTTGTTACTTGAATTTTAACCCTTGAATCCCTTTTTTCTTTTTTTTTTTTTTTTAGGATGGTAAATCAAATTGGTTAGAAGGCGTTATGTTGCTAGCAACATATATCATTATATCTTTAGCTTTCTTCTTTTATCCCAATGATAATGAATCTTAAAAAAACTAATTTTAAAATCTGAGATTTTAAAAAAGTAAATATCACGTCAAATTTTTTATAAAAAAAAAAAGAAAAGAAAAAAAAAAAAATTATTATTGTTTATATATTGTATATTGTTTATTTATATTTATAGATATTAGTCGTTTATTTATTTATACTATAGATTGTATGATCAGAAAATAATTTAACTATTTATATATTTATTTATTTAATCATTTATTTATTTATATCCTATTCTATTTATCAACGTGATTTCTAAATTCTAACATTTTTAATATCAAAATTGATTTATAATCTGAATAATCAAATTTTTGGACAATCGCGACAGTCGTTTAATAAAGATGCTAAACAAAATTTAATTTATTTCACAAAATTGTATTGAGACAACAGGATGAAGATTACCGCGAAATATTGGAATTAATAGTAATTTTTTTTTTTCAAAAAAGATCATTGTACAGAATAATCTGTGATGGAAATGCTCTTGCATGTCGAATGGTATAGCTAATAGTAAATTTACAATTTTAATTAAATCACTGTTATATTCGAAAATAAATATATTGACTTTAATCTTGTTCGAAGGTTTTTGTAGTAATGATCGTTTATATTATAGTCATTTTAAAAGAATATCGTCAGAATAGACGAAAAAAATCATATTATGTGTTATATGTGAATAAATAAGGAAATATTTTTAGTAGAGGTCACGGACGGATATCTGCATAGATATGCAGATATCCGGATAGTAGTTTAAGGTGACGAATAAAAAATCCCAGATATGCAGATATCTATAGATTTCATCCCCTATTCTTTTTTTTATCATGACTCATGGCAGATCTTGATCCGTACCAAAAAATCATTTACTTTTTAAAATTATTTAATTGACAATTTATATAATTATGATTCATCCGGATTTTACGGATCATTAATTCGGATTTGTGAAAGAACTTACGGGAAGTAAGAGATTTAAATAGTTAGGATGTGCGTTATCAGCTGACAGTGCGTAATAATGATACAAATATCATATTTAGAACGTCATGATTTTTCACCTGATTGTCCGGGTGACATTCTAGAAATTAGGTAACTTGTATTTGTAGCCTTAGGTAGAAAGAACTGTCAATGAAATAATCAGGGATGATCGACAAATAATAATAAACTTTTTCAGGAATTCAGGAATTTAATGTAAAAAAAAAAAAAATATTGAAAAAAATTATTAAAATTATTAACTGAAAATTACAAAAAATATAAAAAATATTCAATAATTAAAGCAATTACACTATTTAATACAAGTAAATTGATGATATTATTATAATTATTATAATAAGCAGCAGAAAAAGGAGGATCTTTAGGAATATTATCATTTATGCGAGTAACATTTAATATATGATTATTTCCTGAAATAACCTTTTCATTATTTGAAGAAGATTTTTTAATAAAATTTGATTCAAAATAATAAATATCATCATCTGTATGATTCATAAGTTGTAAGACACCTTTAAATTTAATGGACCCACTTTTAGCAGCTTGTTTATGACGTTTCATATTAAATGTTGATGGATTAGGCGCTGTTGTGGCTTTTGTGCTGTAAGTCGGTGTAATTGTAACTGCATTTGTAGTTATTGAAGGTGTGGGCGTAACAAATGTTTTATAATCTTTTGCGTTAGGTGGATTCCATATATAAGTTATATGGGAAACTGTATATGCAATGTGATGATTAATTAATTAAATGACATTTTTTCTTTAAATTATAATTACATATAATAATAAACTTACGATTCAAGTCAACTTGATTCGAAATGGTTGAATTACCAGGTCCATTACAACCACTCACATAAACATGAGCAGAAATTGGGTCCCAATATCCGATATGTTCACCATTAACAGTTTCGGCCCAAATTATAAGATTTCTAATCGATTTTTTTTTACCTACATCGATTTTTACACGTATTTTAGATCCTGATGGTGCCCATTTTTTTACTTTAACTTTTACTTTTACCCCTGTTGTTGTAACATTATTTAATTCTTTTATCGTGGCTAATTTAAAAGAATAAAAAGAAATAATGAATTTATAAAATCTTTAAAAAAACAAGATTATCGTTGAAATAATTATACGTACCACTTGTACAAATGTTACCTACTAAAGCGTTCGTGTTAGTTATAATTCCAATGTATAAAATAATTAATACCACAATATAAGTAGATAAAAAACTATATTTCCTCATTGTTAAAAAAAATAGGTAATTTGCCGGGGAGGAAATGAAAAATTCAAATAAAGGATTATTATTATTTATACTTATTTAAAATTAGGTTTTAAATAAATAATGCATTTGGCTTTTTTCTTCTCTTGTCAAAAATATATATTTTAAAAAGTGTTTTATACATCCGATTTAAAAAAAAATTTTTATATTAAAAATTTTCGAAGAAGGGAGAGTAAAAAATTATGTATCCAATGCAACCTTTGAAACGCCTTTTAAATGTTTTGTTAATCAAATTCGGATTAATATATACATATATATACTATATAATATATATATTTTTTTAACGAAAATCCTCCCATAACTAAAATCCTTTTTATAAGAAATATTTCAGTTAACTTATGGTAAATTCGAAAGAAAACATGCAATTAGCCTATTGTCGTACTAACTGCTAAATGAATTTCTTTGTAACCATTTTATAAACATTACTTAATCAATAGTGTCACCATTAAATAAATTCTCTTTCTTTTCAAAAAATCATTTCTAAATTAAGAAAAATTCTATAAATAAGGCTCAATAAATAGATGATTTACAATAGTTACACGTAATTTTTTTGCAAGAAAAATAAAATTTTTAATACTCAGTGCGGAGGTCGAACCCGCGGTTCCACGCTGGCTAGTCTCAAGGGCGTTGAAATTGTAAATATTAATCCGCGCGTGGAGTTCTAACCAACTGAACTAATTGGAAAATATGGAAAAGTATTTTTATTTATCATGTGAAATTAAATATTCTAATATATTTCAATTAACCGCAGAAAAAACAAAAATTAATATAAATTATTAAGCATGTTTTTGTTTATTAATTTATTAGTTTAGATAGCATAAAATTATCACTAAAACCGTAAAACGTATAGTAATATTTCTATGGACAATAAATTACTAATATTCGCTAAGGAGTATCATGATGATACGCAACATATACAGTAATTCATTTTATAATTGAGTCTACTTGCCTAGCTGAGTTTAGTATAGTGTCAGCTGAGTTCAGTATAGTGTGATTTTGGTTTGATTCCGCCAAAATTATGAACTACCAAAACTAGGAATACTCAGATAAATATCCACATCATACTATACAGTCGAAAATACTGTTCTTGAAATTTTTTTACAGATTTATAAATATTTAAACAAATTTTTTCGTGTAACACACATCGGCACCTTAATACTGTAATCATAGTTTAATGTTAGTGGTCAAATTTCGGATCAATTATGATGAAGTAAACTCATAAAATAATTAAAATATTATATTTTGTTACTATACTATAGAGTTTTGTTGTATTGCATAAAATTAGCATAATTAGGCCATTCCAAATTAATTTTTAGTTTAACGTCCTCCCCTCCCCCCTCTATTTTTGAAAATTTTAAAATAATTTAAACACATATGTTCACATATGTTTAAAGCACCCCCTCTCTTTTCTGAAATCGGGTGTACCGAATATTTCCGACTTTACTGAAAACTTCCAAAAATTTTAATATGTTTAAATATTATGTTTGTTTAAATTATTCCCTCCCCCCCCCTTATATAGTATTAACCAGTAAATTATACTCTGCATCCCTGTAGACTCAATTGTGAAAATATATACTCCAACATACATATTGCCTAAACATTGAATATTCGACTTAACCATATATTAAAACATTAATTTTGATACAGTATATAAAATGTAAAAGTAAACTTGTGCTTTTATATCTGTATATTGTTGCGGCCGGAATTAAATTAGCACTTGTTGAAACGCTTTTCATACAAAAGCTCAAGAGCTGGATAAAATTATCCCATGATTTCGTCAGCGGAAGATTTGTCCGTAGGTGTTCATGACGTCAATCGTGCATTTATAATTGGCTTATACAAGAGATACTTTTATGGGGTGAGTTTATCTATTAGTAGCGTAATCATATAGAGAAATTTATATCCGTAAAAGATCGTGTAATATGATTAACTGCAGCAAAACAAACTATTTGTTATTTTTTTTTAAAAAAAAATAAATATTTAATGGAACTTTTCATTATTATTATAAATAATTTGTATAATGAAAGATTTATATACATTATCTTATAACTATAAAGTATAAATACGCAGAAAACGTTAATTTTTGAAACAATCGGAGATTACTGCGGCTAATGAAATTACCTATTATTAGTCGCAACAAAATAAGATTTTTTCTTAAAAAAAATTACAAGCCCAGTGCAGGAATTGAACCCGCATTTCCACGGTTTTGATATTCTGTAATTCAGAACAATAGGTGTGGCGTTCTAACCAATTAAACTAACTGGGCGATTTATTTGTTGTATTCTATTAAAAATTTATTTTATGGATAAATATTTGATGACCAATTAAAATTCTTAAATCTCATACATAGTCCAAATGATTCATGTGTATATAGTTGTATATTAATATATATTTCCCACAATCTTACATTATCAACATATAGTATTTCGTGATTTATCGCAGCAAAAGAAACGTTAATCGGAGATATCGGAGATTACTGCGGTTGATAAATCACACAATATTAGTCGAAGTTTATTTTTTTAAAAAGTCTGTACGCAAAAAAAAAAGTGGCCCAGTGCAGGAATTGAACCCGCGTTTCCACGGTTACGACTTCACATTTATCACGTAATGTCTTATAAGATGTGGCGTTCTAACCAACTGAATTCACCATGCGATTTATTTACGTTGCTGTAGTATATTATTTAATATTGTGTAATGTATTTTCCTATGTGATAAAATAAAATATAAGAGATAGCGTATTATTAACATATAGTATTTCGTGATAATATAAAAAATCTCAGCCATGGAAAATATAGAATTTACAAGAATTACAAAGAAAATTCTAGTACAATGAAATATTAAATATTTTGAAAATTACTCAATAAGAGGAGATTTGCATAATCCAATCAAAAAAATAAAAGCGGATGGTCGTGATGTACCGCAGCAAAGAAGCAATTTTTTTTTTAAAAAAAATACATATTTAATGAAACTTTCATTATTGTTATAAATAATTTGCATAATGAATATTTAAATACACACATAAATTATTATCTTATAATTATAATCTTATAGAAACGTTAATTCTGAAATTAATAATCTGACTTATCTGAGATTACGATTACTGCGGCTAATGAAATATATTTAATTAGTCGCAGCAAAATATGAATTTTTTTTAAAAAAAAATTGCACAAAAAAAAAAAAGCCCAGTGCAGGAATTGAACCCGCGTTTCCACGATTCACGTTTATCACGTAAGTTTTATAAGATGTGGCGTTCTAACCAACTGAACTAACCGGGCGACTTATTTACTGTATATTCTATTAAATAATTATTTTATGGATGAATATTTGATGACCAATTAAATTTCATACACAGTTGAAATGAACAAATTTTAAATGATTCATATTGTAATTAACCACAATAATAGTGTGTATAATATATATTATCCACAATATTACATTTTCAGACCGTGAAATTAGAGAAATTAAGGTGTGGCGTTCTAACCAACTGAATTAACCACGATTTATTTACGTTATTATAGTGTATTATTTAATATTGTGTAATGTATTTTCCTATGTGATAAAATAAAATATAAGAGATAGCGTATTATTATATAGTATTTCGTGATAATATAAAAATCTCAGCCATGGAAAATATAGAATTTACAAGAATTACAAAGAAAATTCTAATATAATAAAAAATATAAATATTTTGAAAATTACTCGAGAGATTTGCATAATCCATTCAAATAAAAAAATAAAAGCGGATGGCGTGATTTACCGCAGCAAAAGAAGCAATTTTTTTTTTAAAAAAAAAAAATATATATATAAATTTAAATTGTAAATAATTTGCATAATTAATATTTAAATAAACATATAAATTATTATCTGTTATCTTATAATTATAATCTTATAGAAAACGTTGATTCTGAAATTAATCTGAAATTACTGCGGCTAATGAAATATATTTAATTAGTCGCAGCAAAATATGAATTTTTTTTTTAAAAAAAATTGCACAAAGAAAAAGGCCCAGTGCAGGAATTGAACCCGCGTTTCCACGATTAAAGCTTATAACATAAGATTTGAAAGATGTGGCGTTCTAACCAACTGAACTAACCGGGCGATTTATTTGCGTTTGATCAGTATTTGTACTATTTATATTTTTGAAAGTATAAATTTTGTGTCGGAATACTGTAAATATACGCTTGTAACGTAAAATATTTTCATTATTCATTAGTTAAAATTATAATGAAAACTTTATAATGGTGAGTTATAGTACCTTCAAAATACAGTACTACACCTACCTGTATACATGAAGATTTTCGCTTACCTTGCACCAGAACTTCGAATTTGTATGATACTAGGTATTATTGCCCATCGTTTAGGGTACAGTACATACATAAATTATTTTCTTTTAGATTTACGTAAAAAATCATGAGAGTATCTGTTTATCATCTGCGGCTAATAATAATCGACAAATATACTAGTACTAGTAACACAGATACAATACACAGGAAATCGGATCTTCGATAAACCGGATTTGGTGTTATTTCGGATTTTTCTCCCGGAACCAAAGATATGCTGGGTTTCTTAGTAAAGTCGCGATATTTTATGAATCGGACTTGATTCTATATCAAAAAAATTTTGATATATCCTAATTTTGCAAACATACCTTTATATTATTGTAATTTTAAAAAAGTTTAATTCCAGCCGAAATGATTAATTTCGACCAGAATTAAGATTAATCATTTTATACCGAAATTCTTTACATACAATTCTTACCAATTTTTTATTTTAAACTTTCAATTAAAGTTTTATTTTCCTGTAAACCTTGCTACATCAGATTCTATCATAATTTTCATATAAAATCCAGTGTAAGAAGATTTTTTGATATACGGATCCGATTTACATAAAATACATACGGTATTACCTTTTAATACCAGCATTCGGTAATGATAAAGGATTCAAATAATAAGTCATTTAAAATCATTTAAACATGTGAAATATTTTGTGAAATCTTATTGTTTTCTTTTTCAGTTTAAATAAATGCTAAATTATCGTGATATTATCACGTATAAAATGTTACGTTACTTTGCGTGACATTTTTTAGAATTATCATTTCACCGTCTCAAAAACCTAATTAAAAAAGACAAAGCCACATCAAACCATATATTTTATTTATCTTCTTAGGAATATCTTGAGATTTTCTTCGAATAACGATAAATATTCTAACTTCCATTTTGCTGTTTCATAATCAGCAGGATTTGTATTCTTCCAACTGTGCGATAATTGCATTATCAAATTGAATATTTTAAGATTAAATTTCATAATAGGACGAAATTACTATTGCTAATGAACTTATCACGCACTTCAATGCGATTCGACTGATTCGTTGTATAATTTTTTTAAGACAAATATATATGGAAATGATAACCAGTGTGGATATGAAGTGTGGCGTTATGTGATCATTTATAAATACAACTAGGAAAGAAGAAAGCAAGGGTTAAAATGTGAGGTGACGTCAGAAGGAAAATTACATGGGTTACGTCCACGCTCAAATACTATTCTTTATTAACTCCACAGTAATATGAAATTGACGATGCTCAAAAAATCAAATCCATATGCCGATAATTGATGCGTGATGTTTAATACCGTCCAACTTTCGGATTATGACTGTTGTACTGGACAAATCCAGTGATTTACATCAACTACTGTACCAACAAGTGATAGCACTGTAAAAGCTACTGCGACTATTGCGCGCAGTATGAATGAATAGAACGCAAACGCAATTAATAACTGCTTAATTATCATACCCTTGAAACAATCCAAATATATTGACATCTCAAAAAGTCGGTAATAAATTACATGATACTAAAAAAACTTAATACATAAATTTATTATTATTTTTTTTTTTTAAAAAAAAAAAGTCCTGAATGTTTGAATTTATTTCTAACATGTACAATTTTGATGATATATAACTTATTAATTAAAAAAATTTACATCATAAAATGGAAAGTTGTGGAATCATCCAATTATATAAAGATGAGTTTTGTCAAAGTGGTGTTGCATAAAATGTAATCTTAAAATTATCTAAATTATCTTAAAATTTCCTTACAACCTTTTTTAAATTTTTTTTTTTTATCTTTATACTTTTGAATGTGAATAAAATAAACAACCGGGTTTATTTTGATCCGTAAATATGCAAACAAATGAATATACGACAAATAAAGAAGTGAAAATGTTTTTTTTTTTTTTTGCCATTACAAATCCGATAAATAAAATACGGGCCTAAGCCTAAAAAAATTCGTAGTCGAATAATTTTTTTGCCATTACAAATCCGATAAATAAAATATGAGCCTAAGCCTAAAAAATTCGAAAAAATGAAAATCACGAAAATATTTTCGCTAACGTTTTTTTAACCAAATATGGAATTTCAGATATCACCATGCAAATCGATTAAATCATATAATTCAATATAAGATTCTAAATTATTGCACCAACTATTTTCATTTACATCATAATATGAATAACTAGGAAATACAGGAGATAAAGGAGATACGGGAGATGCAGAAAGTATGGGAGATACAGAAGGCACGGGAGACGCAAAAGATACGGGAGATGTAAAAGGTAAAGAAGATAAAGGAAAATATAAATCTGTTGGTAAATCTGTTGGTAGTTCATCATAAACTGGACTATCAAATTCTGTTAAGCGAGACCAATCAGAAGAAACATCAGCCACATTTCCCACATCAGTTACATTAGTTAAAGGATTTTCATTATTATTATTATTATTATTATTATTATTATTATTATCGTCATTATCATCCACATTAGTTTGATATTCAAAAATGAATCTAGGAATAATATTATAAGGATTATTTTGTTCATTCTTAAATTGTTCGTTTAAAAGTTTTTGAATTTCCTTTTCAATTTTCTTGTAATGTTCTTTAACGTTACTTGGCTCATTTGACCAAAAAATACCGGCCCATTTGCTAACTTTTACCATTTGATCATTATAATTCTCCAATTTCAATTGCTTTACAAATTGTTGTCTATAAATAAAGAATGAATTTGGAGATCTAAAATACGCTCTAGAAAGTGGTCTACTACGAAGGAATTCTTCTGCCGTCATTTTTGGTGGAAATGGCATTGTAATTTTTGGCATATCTTCCGGAAGATTTGATAAAGAAGTTTTCTTTGAAGAGGGTGATCTTGGCATGTTTTAGTCGATTAAATAAGAAGGCTTTAAAAAAAATTGATGATATTTTTGTATAAATCTTTTTTTTTTTTTTTCCTCAAAAAAAAAAATCTTTGCAATTTGCTGAAAAAAAAATCTCGAGAAAATTTCTCTTTTATATATTTTGGAGTGGAGTTTCCACCCCGTTGTGGCTGAAGATATGTCAGATTCGGAAATGATGACCAATATTTTATTGGATCGTTACACCAAGTCGAATAAGTTCGAACATTAGCCATAATTAATTTATTACCTATATAGGTATGTAATATACCTTCAACGAGAATTAATTTTTATAACAATGTAAATGAAGATTCTTAATGAATTTAATAAATAGAAAATCCTTTCTTACATTATTTGCATTATTATCCAAAAATAGGAGAGTTTAACAATAAATTTTAGGAATTTGTATTATAAATATTAATACGCGAATATTTTTTATTGATCGGTTTTAAGTAAATTTTTTTTAGTAAAATTTGAAGTATTAACACATTTCTTTGAACGCATTTCTTTTTAAAGTCTACAAGAAATAATTAAATAACTCCGAGTTCTTTGTGCCAAAGGATAAAAATTTTCCTTAAAATCTCGGCCGCAATTATTGAGAGGTGTAACATTTAATAATAAACTTTAAAAAATTAAAGAATATTAATGCAAATCTTTATTTATTTACATAAATGCATATCAATCCGTAGGAAAATTATTAAATGTTGGAGAATACAATTTTTGAATTATAATGACGTCAATTCAATATGATTAAATTCTCAATTATTCTTTAGATAATTTAATGTTTGTAACAAATTGTTATTTTAAGGAATAAAGGAAAATCCAAAAGAAAACCTCCTAATGAGTTTCAAATTATTTTGATCTAAAATTTTCTTCGATAGAGAAAAAGATCATTTGATTACGTTTGTACGACATAGATCCTATTATAGCGAGTTTATATAGTCATGTACGACGTAAATCACTTCTAGAACAACGTTCTATCAAAGAATACTTCCGTCATAACAACATGACAATTAACTAATCATAATAATAAATAACAATGATTAATTTCGAGTCAGGTTTTTTCATATCTTTACTCGAACTAATGCAGTAAATAATCTTTTATATTAATTTCCTTTTCTGACAGTTGGTTGGCAAAACAAAAAATTCTAAAAAAAAAAATCCATAATCATAATTTATTATATAATATTTTTCATTAAGTAATTTTGCATGAAGAAATTATTGGATATTTCGGTCTTGAACCGATGTTTGTCTATTCCCATGAATGTATTATAAGACTATAATGCTAGAAATCATAAAAAAAGAAAAAGAAAAAAAAAAATATTATTATTATCGTTTAAATTAATTTAAATTAATTAGACATATACATTGAATTGAACATTATTTACTTTTCAATTGGGTGAAAATGATTCAAAATTCTTCGTCATTGTGCTTTATTATAATTAGATTTCTGCATTATGATGATCAAATTTGCAACAAAGAAATTGGAAGGGCTGGTGAATTTACTGATATTCCACAGAATGTTCTGCTAATTCTAAATCCTGTGACACAAAAGTTTATCTTATTGATCTGCTTGGCTTGTATCACTTTACTTTTGATATTATTGGTTAAAGACAAGAGGCGCTAAGACAAGAAAGTAACACAAGGGTAGTTTAATGTGGCAAATTTGGATAATACTTACGAAAATAAGTCAATAAATGGATTAATTGAAAATTCTAAGTGGAAAAAAGTGCTTCGAACATGGATTTATCTTGTTTCTATCCGGATTTTCCGGTTCTATAAACCGCAGTCCGATAAAAAAAATTACTGATTCGGGCCGAATTTATAAAATTAAAGATCCAAATTTATGTAACAGAACAATTTCGTAAAATGGTTAATTAATTGTTCCGAATTACAGCCGAAATGCTTTGGAACGTCGTGGCTTAATCATAAAGTTTTTACATTTTCAGTAATTTAAATTAAAATTACCAAATATTTCTTAATAAATTTTCCTTTTATTACTTTTATTAATAATTTTTAGTAATTTTTAATATTAAGAGATAAATAATTTTATATATAATTATATTTTCTATCAAAGATAAATTATCCGGACACCATTTGTATTCTATAATTTTCGAAAAAAAATTTTGAAGTTCCTGGAGGACCCCTGAATACGGAGATATAGCACTTCATTGTACAATCAAATTTTTTAATACTATGAAAATAAATGTAACCTTGTACGGATTCAGGTTTTTGTACTAATTAACATATGCTATTATCACCGCGGAGGTTCCAATCATTGTACTCAGGGCCCTGTTCCTGGTCGCAGAAAATCACGTGGCATAAACATGATGTCTGCTTTGTTTATTATTTATGTAATTAATCATTCCGACAACCTTTTTAAAGTAAAATAAAAATTTGTCGTTTTTTTGACAAATTCATCGAATTCATCTGATTGTGTTAGTTTTTGGGCCGGTCTCTAAATTTTAAGAAATATTTAACGAACTTCCAACTGGGAGTCTAGGACTGACCTAATTGTCCGGAGCGAAGCGAAGGACTATATATGTCTACGCACTATGATGATCTATGGAAATAACGTGTAAATTTTCAATCACGTGAGTTTCTCTGTCCAGGAATTCCAAGGCGTTATGCTGCTAATCAGCAGAAAATTACCGGAATTCCAAGGCTAATTAGTAGAATATCGCCACATCTTTATTTATTATACCTCGCTCCGGACTTACAACGGTTCCCGTTTCCTAGTAATAAAAAATAGAGCTCAGCCTAAAAATAAGTGGCTTGACAGGTTATGGCTTGACGGCAAGATATAACGGCGTGACACGACTGACACGTAAATCTATGATCAACAAGATTACAGAATTACGGAAAGTTACCAAACTTGGTTAAATCCGGAGTCATGGACCCGTTTAATTATATATAAATTGGTTCCAAAATTCCCAAATAATAATTTTCTTTCTTTTTTTCTTTTTTCTTAAAATCATGGAGGTAGAATCTAAGTTCTTACCAGATTTAATCAAAAATTTCGAACAACTTTATGAAACAAAAGATGATTGTGATCTTATCATTTATGCAGGAGAGGAACCAAATGCTCAAAAGATTTACGCTCACTCGGTTATCCTTCGTTGTCAATCAACTTATTTTTACACAGCATTTTCGAATAATTGGGCCGAAAAAAAGGATGGAATGTACATATTTAACAAACCTAATGTTACGCCAAATATTATGAACAAGCTTATAAAGTAGTGTAATCAGATAAATGTTTTTTTCATAAGTCGTTTTTTTTTTAAAAAAAAAAGAAAGAGAAATAATTTAAATTAAAATTTAAAATTAATTGTTTTTTATTTCAGATTTTTTTATTGTGGAAAATTAGATTTGGATTTTGAAAATGCTATAGATGTTATAAAACTATTAATAGCTGTAGATGAGTTTGGACTTCCTACTCTTGCGGAACATATTCAAGAATTTTTTGTTAATAATCAATTAAAAGTTGATCCCGTCGGAATTCTTAAAATAATTTTTGAGAATGAAAATTTTTCAACTTTACAAAATTTATCATTGGAAAAAATTTGTCAAGAGCCACATATATTATTTCAAAAATATTCTTTTTTGACAATACCATCACATATTTTAGAAAGCCTTCTTAGTCGAGATGATCTTATGTTAAAAGAAATTGAAATATGGAACAACTTAATTAAGTGGGCTCATGCACAAAATTCTACCGTCAATCGCGATCCTTCCGCTTGGACCAAAGATGAGATTAATATAATGGAGCAAACCATACATAATTTTATACCATTGATTAGATTTCAAGATATCACTTCAGAAGAATATTGTAGTAAAGTGATGTGTTATAAAAAATTATTACCTAAAAAATTAAAACAGGAAATTTTACAATTTTATTTAATGCCTAGCGTAAGGAGAATTATTGGATCATTACCACCAAGGTTACCTAAAATTGATTCCGTTATTATTTATCCAGAACACGTCAAATTATTCGCAAGTTGGTTGGATAGAAGAGTTGAACCCTATAAAAAAGCTCAAGAGGTTCAATACGAATTTGATCTCATTTTACGTGGAAGCGTGGATGGATTTACTTCCCCAGCATTTCATTATAAATGTGATCCTAAAGAGGCAAGTATTGTAGTCGCAAAAATTAGAGGAACAAATAAAATAGTTGGCGGGTATAATCCACTTAATTGGAGTGGAGATGGTATTTTCAAAAATGCACCAGATAGTTTTATATTCTGTCTTGATGATTATCAGAACATTAATACAGCTCGTTTAGGTAGAGTAATTAATACACAATACGCTGTAAGTTGTTGGGTTGAATGGGGTCCACTCTTTGGATTTTGGTGTGGTATCAGTCATGATTTAATGATGCATCCAGATGGTACTTGGAGTTCAAAGCCAAACTCATATCCTGATATTAACATTCCAAGGAATTTTGAGATTGATGATTATGAAGTATTTAAAGTAGTTAAGATAACGGATTAGTTTATTTTTGTGATGATGGATTCTTTGAGGGAAGATTATTTCGAGGACGTTCTAAATAATTTCAAAAAAGTATTTTATATTTTTTTTTTTTTTTGATCATCAAATTATTTAATTGTACGTGGTATTATATATTATTTAACAAATAAAGATAGCAGCAAAGGTGAACCCATTTTGTTAATTGTATGTGATTTTGATTTAACTATTAATTATCATAATAGTTATTTATTTCAATTATTTAGTTATTTATGTACGCAGATTTTAAAATTTTCAATTATTTGATTATATATTTATTATTTGAAAACCTTTTTTTTTTTTTTTTTTTTTTTTTAAAAAAAAAAAATNATTAATTCTTTATGTAAATTAATTACAAGAAAATTTTTTTTTTTTTTTTTATGTAATTAATTAAAAATTATATACTGTATATAATAAATTATTATACAAAAGAGAAATTATATCTAAATTAACCCAAATTAACCCAAAATTCTAATATTTTATATCATCTAAATCTAAATTAAACAACTTTTGGTACGCACTTATCTAATAAAGTTACGGATGGTAAATTTACTATAGGAAAGTCTTTTTTTGCTACAAAGAAACCTAAATCACCTACAAGAGTACTTTCAAGATGTGGTTGATCATTTCCATTACATCCACTTTCACTACCAATTGAAACACTAGTACCAAGTGTTGTTTTTACTTGGAACCCAGTTTTAATTTGAAAAAGTCCATTAAGTACATCAAGACCAAAGGATAATTGTGGCTTTAACGAACCACTAATACCAGTTGAAATAGTGACACCAACAGTTGGATCATGTGATTTTGTTTGTGGATCAAAACCGGATTGAACAAATTTTGGCTCATCAATCAAAGTGAAATTAGCACTAAAATTTGGTATGTCAATTTCACCTCCAGTACGAAGAGTTCCTGTTATATCTGCAGTTATTGAAGCTGAAGCGCCAAGATCTATCGAAGGTCCAATATTAAATAAATTTGATATACCGAGAGGAGATAAAGGAATACTAAGAAGTTGAATATCAGGGGGAGAAAGACTAGCACCAACTTTACCATTAATAGAAAAGTCAAGGTTCATCTTAATGTTCCCTTTAACAGAAATTGTAGCATCTGTTAATTTAAAGGGGAAAAATTTACCACCAATTATCATGTTAATTGTGGCTTCACCGTTTACAAAACAATTAGCACAAAGTAAAGTTTCCTCAGTATTATTTTGTCCCAATTTAATAAGTGGAATATTTGGTTTTGAAGATTTTCCAGTCTTTTCATCAAATAAAACATTTAAATTTAATTTTTTGCTTATATCAAGATTTTGAGCTCTTTTACGTGATCTACGACGATTTACGTTACGTTTTTTCGAACCTCCATCGACCCATGAAACGTTAATAAGGAATTCATCTGCTTGATCCGATATTTTACTTTCTTCAGAAGTAAAACTCACTGATTTATTAGGTGCATCAATGACCTTATCACTAACTATAAAAAATTGGGTTTCAGTTTTACCAAAACATTCCCATTTATCTGAAATTAATAAGATAACTTTATCGGGCCAATTGTTAATTTGATCGATATCATTTTGCTCCTTCAAACCGAGAGTAATTTTTCCATCATTACAATTAATACTTGATACTCCACTTTGATCAGGATTTAATGATGGTATCTTTGTTTTAAAATAAACATCTGCTTTATGAAATCCTTGGGTATTTGCATTTTGTTGACTAAAAGAACCACGAAGGTCAGTTGATGGTATAAATCCATTATTTTCTGCAACAGAGCCAAAAGTTGATGAGTCTGCTGAAGAAACAATTCCAACAAGTAAAAAAAGTAAAAATGAATTCAAAATGAAATTAACCATTTTTATTAAAAAGAATGTGTATATATATATATATATACACCTTCCGGGGCGAATTATGTATAATTATATATAGGTAGGTATATTTAATCCTATAAATAAAGTGACGTATCTAACGTCAAGAAGAAAAAAAGGGAAGGAGAAATTCAACAAATTATTTAAATTTTTTTTTTTTTTTCCAAATTTACCAGGAGGCGTATATATATCTATATTTTTTTTTTTTTTACCAAAATTATAGTTTAAAATGCATTATGGGATACAATTCAAACCCTATTCGGATTTTTTGATGTACTTATTCGGCCGATATTCGCAGATTTTTTCCTAATAAGTAAGTGAAGACATACGTTTTAGTTTAGGTACTGGAAATTATTTCATTGTTTTCTAGAATTTATATCTGCTTTTCCCGAAACTTTTGTAACCTCCACTTAATTCAACAATCTTCAGCAAGGTCGGTCCTTGCTTAATTTAAAAACAAAGAGGTTTTATCTTGCATTTTTCATATGTAAAATCGATACAAAATTCGAAATTTTTATTGGTGAAATATCTTTTTACCTCTTTTTAGGAGAGAATTACAAGATTTTAATAAAATTTATACGCTTAATACCGACATTTCAATTCTTTCAATAATGGTTAGTTAACTTTATTCTGGTTTTCCTCACAATGTTTGACATGATGTACCAAATGTGGAATTGTGATATCACTCGAAACACTACACTAGAATGAAAATTTCAATTCAAATTATATTAATATTTTCTTTGTCTATATATAATTTCTTTAAATTTCATTATAAACGAATAATATCTGTCTCATTTTAAGATATTTCGGATGAACAACGCAATGGATCCAGGGATCGACTAAATAAAACCATATTAGGAGACATTTAATTATTTACCATTTTGAAATCTGAAACAAATTTAATTAGATTATTCTGCGAGTATTTATTAATAATACTTTTAAAGTTTCATATTAACAAATTTATTCTATAAAGAAAAATCTTTTTTTCAAAATAGAAAATTTTTTTTTTCATTCCATACTTTCATTACGACATTGTTACTGCAAACATCGGATATAAAGCATGATGTTATAATGATGTTACAGCATATAATTATTCGTCATTAAATAATAAATAATATTTAGAATATGATTGGTTAAACTAATTTTTGCCACTTTGGTGACGTTAAATTAGATCTACATAGTATTTGTAGGATTGTCGGATATTACGTCACATGATTTTAAGTAAAATTGTTACACGTCATTTGGTCAAATTTTTGAATGTAATATTCTAACACAAAGGAAAATTGACGGATTTGCCGGAAAATATCAACATACTTATTTCGGAAAAATTTTGCCTGGTGATCCATTAAACATAAATTGTAATATGAAAATTGAGAATCTCGATTGAAGCATAAAAAAAAAAAATACAAGGAATAATGTTTCGGCGAAAACTTACTTCGAAATAGATAGCCAATTATACGTAAAAGACAATCATTTTCGAATATCTGTTATGTAAACATTAGGATCTCGGTTAAATCTGTTGCGATAAATTTACTTTTTACCAATGAAATATACAATTGTAATTTATTTTTGTTTGATATTTTTAATGATTAGCAACAAAGTTTTGTTGATCATCAATATAATTTAATTGGTTTTATTTTTTTTATTTGGTAAAAAGTTAATACATGCGGTGGTTTTGAAATTATTATTATTGTCAAAAATTAAAAATAAAAAATATTTAGAAAATAATGCTGATGTTACTGCAAGATAACAATTAAACGAAAATGGAATGATTTTGACAATAAAAAATCTCATCTGTTTTAGATTTTTGCTATTTTCCAATTCCTATTAGTTATGTCTCTTAGTTATATTTTAAACTTTGTTACACAAATTAAAAGCTTGTGGGTTTCACACCCATATAAATATCAATTACACAACATAAATGATAACAAAACAAATAGGATTAATTTATAATATTCTTTTTTGGTTTGGTCGAAAAAATTTAAATTAAGGCGCCATTCTAATATAAATAATCAGCGAAAAAAACCGAATAAAAACTTCCCGCCACACTTTACATAACACACTTTACACAAAAGATATTTATTTAATACGCATAAATAGGCTCCAAAAGTTTTCAATTTATATATATTTTTTATGTTGATATTCTACATTTCTTTATGAATGTCAACTACGCTATTATAAAAAAAAAATGATATATATATATATAAGTAACACAAAATAAAATAAAAAAAAATAATTATTAATTCTAGAAAAAAAAAGGTATATAATATGAATCGATCTCAACCTATAAATTTAATTAACGGTAAGATGTATTGTCAGTAAGTAAAAATATTGATCACTGATAAGTTCACACGCTTTAATTTCATATTTAATAAAAAATTCTTCATTATTCATTAGATGGGCAATCTTTATAAGCGAATGTTATGAATCACAATATTTCATAGTAACATATTACGTTAATCTAGTAACTGCAACAATTTTCACACTATTGGCTGGAGTAAGTACTGTTTTTTATACTGCATAATCAATGATAAAAATAAGAAAAGGTAGTTAATTTATCTTAATTTATAGGGAATCTTAATTATGAGGCTAATAGCACATCGAGAATTAAATCTTTTATCGAATGGAATAATAGCACCATTAGAAGGGTTTTTGGGATTTTCCATGCTAGGCGGTATAGGTAAGAAACATTATTTATTTAAATAATTAGATTAAGATCATGTGAATAAATTCTAAATTTTATTTATAGCGAGAATTGTATGCAGCGTAACGTTCATAATTGATGTTCTTCCAACATATTATATATATCGAGAAATGATATCAGATGCACAATGGATAACAGCTCAACTTTCTGTAATAACTTATCTAGCGGGAGTATTTCGTACATTACCTCGTATGGCATTTTTTCAACCATCTTATTCTGATAATCAGCCTTCAACAACTAATTTGACATTATGCGTACCAACTTTATATTTAATAAGAATATTATATTGGACAATATCAATTACGTTAATTATAATAGCATCTGGGTCAGCAATATTAGCAGGATATTTTAGAATGAAAGATAATAGATTTTTATTAAATGTATTTACTTCAACAAGATTAATTACTTACGGAATTTCATGTATAATTTTAGTAATAGGATATGGTATATATGGAAGATTATTGATAAATTTGACAATGCAAAGTTTTGATTTGGTTCAAGGACAAGGTGGGATTGTTGAAGAATGTCAAGAAACTCATGTTACTGAAATAATTAGAGATGAAGATGGAAGAGAAGAAAGAAATATACATAAAATTTATGTTTTAACAAGAGGTGGTGAAAGAAGTGAAATTGATTTAAGAAATTTAAGATTTAAATATCATATAAGAAAAATGAAAATATTTAATCATTCTGCATTAATGACATTTGCTTTTTGGTCATTATCAAGTTTTATATTAGCATTTTGGCATGATCAAATTTGGTCTACTTTATTGTTATCAAAAATTCAAGCTTTTATTGCTAATATAAGTACAAATTTAATTATCTTGACAGTTTTGATTGTTATATTATTAAGTGAATTGGTACATCATAAAGGTCAAAATTCTCTTGATGTAACAAAAGTTACCAATAGTAATCAATTATCAACTTTTACTCATTCTATTGAAGAAGCATAAAATTTACTAAATACTAATTAATAAATTAATATTTTAATAAATAATTTAAGTAATTTAAGCAAATTCTTTTTTCACTAATTGATTATAGGCCAGTTTCAGTTTATAATATATACACATGCTGTTATAATTTGATAAAGCTGGTTTTGTAGATCATTTATCCTAATTATTTATCCAAATACATGATTATCTGCTTAATTTCCTGGGGTTACAAATGTGACCAATATGATGGAAATTCAAATGATTTCATATAATAAGAAAATTAGCTTCTCCATCTCTTGTAAAATAAATTTTTTTTTTTTGAAATATTAGTATTTTAATATTAGCAGAAAATACACACTTTTTAAAGTAATTTCTTTCTATAGTTTTAAAATTTTTTGTATTTATATATTTATTATAAAAAATTGAATTTTACATTTATTATATAAATATTTTATTTAAATAAATATTATTACAAATTAAATAATTCTATTATTTATAATTTTCAATTTTTCAGACTTTATCGAATAATGAGGTACCAGTCAGATTTCATATACCTGGTAGAATCTGTACAATACTGATATCTCGGCGCAGATCGGTTACATATTAGAACTTAGTTTTAGAACTACCGACAAAAATTAGCGATCACGTGACATATTTTTAATTTATCACCTCGTCCGAGTTTCACTGTTTATATTTATCTGAGAGACTTAGTTTTTTTCGAGTAGGTAAAAACTCCTGCGCTAAATTTTTGTCGGTGCGACTGGGGTAGTTACATATTAGTTACATATGCATATCATACTATTTTTACAAATATCATACTCGTCAATTCAATTCTGAAATGATATATATATATATATATATGCGAGTATTCTGATATCTCAAACCATATCCCCGATATGTATCCTAATTTTATATATTTATAAGCATATTTTTAATTTATATATCTGATATAACAGTTTATTTATTTATTGTATTATTACATAGTAATATTTTATTCTATTATATATATCTATTCTATTCTATTCTATTCTATTGATTTGACACTTGTGTTTCCATCCAAAATAATTGATAGCGCCACACGAAGAAACATACCATGAAGGATTATTCAGAATACCCAGGAATCTAAAAACAAAAAAAATAGGTGGTTAATAAAATTTAATAACGCCATTAATACCCACCCAAAAAAACTTACCACTCCACAAAGAATTATTCCAGGAATCTAAAAAAAAAAGAAAAAGCTGTTCCCGTAACACCATAACAGACCGCAGGTATGAATTTCGTTTCTAATAACAAAAAAAAAATAAGTAAATAACGGAAATATATTTCTTTTTGTAATTTCCGTTTTTACCTTCCGATTCCTGACTTCTGACAAAAAAAGAGATTATTAGATCATCGTACTTATCAACATCTTTTCTTAGAACATATATCCGTCTACAAGTAGAGAATAGAGATTTTGAATGTTTGGTAATTTCGGCTTATTGAAGAACAAGATGCTGAAGAGATGAATGGCAAAGGAGGATGAATCTACATTAGTTATAATAAATGTCAATTAAATAAATGATATGTGATGGCTTTCATCATCAGAGGAAAAATCTTCTCTACTACGTTTAGGTGAATGAGAAGATGCAAGTAAATACGATTGGAGAAAAAATCGCTATGAGTTTCGTTATCATTGATGACCATACGATTGGTCAAGTTTAATCCATCTTTGCGATGTTCTCACCTTCTTTTACACCCTTTTTTCTCAGATTTATGACATTGATGTTACCCAAGCAAACTGGAATCCCGGATCCTAAAAGAGAAAAAGGAACCATCAATCAATATAATGTAAAAAATATAAAAAAAAAGTTTCAAAATTTCGAAACTTACCACCCGTCGGTCGGAAATAGTGCCAACGGTCCAAGAGAGTCCGGAAGCTACTAAAAAAAAAAAGAAAAAAAAAACAGAAGGTTAGTATCCTTCTAGTTAAAAACTTTTTTCCGAAGCTTACCAGTCCGAAATAGTATCCGACGGTCTAAAAGGGTCCGGAAGCTACCAAAAAAATATTCTTGTATATCTATTTAAATAATTTTTTTTTTCGCTTACCAACCCTAAATAGCGTAACGGTCTAAGTTGTAAGCTAAACAAAAATAAATAGAAGGTTAGTATATATATTCTTAATTCCTATACGCCTTCTAATTAAAAACCATTTTTTTAAACTCTCCAGTCTGAAATGGCAGTTCGTTGAAAAATTTCTAAGAAAAAAAATACAGTAAAAAGGGGTGTTTAATAAATAAAAAAAAATGATCCCGATTTAGTATACTGTATTACGGTAAATCAACTACTCATTGGCGTCTCGTAAATAAGTAAAAATATCCAAACCTCTAAAAATAAAAATAATTTCACTTCACAAAAGATTATGAAGCTATCTATAGCCAATGTCGAAAGAACGATCGTTTTTCTTTAGGATGTGTGATTCCAAGTTATCTCCAAGGGATATTAAAAGGAAGTTTAGGGGGATTTCAAACCATTAATTCGAACAATCGCGTATCTGGAGCGTCGAAAGACGAACAATATTTTGATGCGACGGATAGTTTAGCGAATCCGAGGGTTGGTAATGGTGGAAAAAAAATCTATTGCAGGTATTGTAGGTAAAGAGAAAAGAATGTGTAGGTACTAGGTAGTATCAATGTAAATAGGAAACGTGTTGTAGAAACTCAAGCCACTAGAGGGTATAATGATGTCGATACTAATAAAGTCATCGTTAAAAAAAAAATAATAATAATAATTGTTAATTATCTAATTCTGTGCATATTATTTTATATAAAGGAAGTCTAAACGCGTCTGCTGCCGTCTAGTACAATTTCGCGTTTGAATTTAACCGGAATATATAGTTTAAATATTGACGTTATATAAAATGTTAAATTCTAGTAAATTACTTATGACTTATCGGATGATTAATAACCTTTTGCAAAAAATCCGATTCTTTATATTACATGTATTGTAATATCATATGCAATATGCATATCGATTCTTGCCTTATATTTATAAGGCATATCAGGCAAATTTCAATTTTCCGATGTGACCTGATATTTACTTGATATTTAATATACTGATACTTATTCAACCAGTGGCGCGATTATGTAATCGCATTAATCGCGTTCTTATCGATCTTATTAACACACCAGTTTTTTATGTTCCTGTTTACTCGATTTTATTTGTCGACGACAATTAACTTTTATACACAATATTCAAACTTGAAATCTATAGTTTCCAGGCCCCTGACGCCCCACATATAGTTTAAATTTTGTCATACTATTTAATCCCCGTACTGGGATTGGAATCGATAATCGAATCAAAATCGAATCTTATTTGTTGAAGAAAAAATTAAAAAAATTAATTCAACATTACATCCAAAAATTAAATATGATTTAAAATATTTTCAAAAAAGAAAAATTGATCGATAATGGTCTTCAAAAACTTAAAAATGACAAAATAATCGGGCAAATGATCGGCAATGATTGATGTTGTAACACCTGAGCCCATAGAGAATTATGTTTGCCACCTCAGGTATTAACAAAATGACTCTTTATTAATAATATAAATAAATACAATAATATGCTTGGTTTAATAACATTAAATAACAAAATAAATAATTCATAACAAAATTCGTCTAATTTTCTCTCTTTTCCAAAAGTTGATCTTCACGCCCTTTTATGTTTGTTTTTGTGTAACTAAATTCGTAATTTCGATTCATGGATTTAAATTATTAAAGTATTTCCATTATTTTAAAGTATTTCCATTATCTTAATTTTGTATCCATTTGATCATCATGAACTCCTGAATTATGATTTATAATATTAACGTAGTGATCAACAAATTAATCACTTGACACCTAAGATCACTTGATTTCATAAAATTTAGTATCTTTCGGATCATCATTTATCCTTAAATCTCGTGACTAATAGTTTAAGGTCATCACGGACCAATTACCTTAATCCATGTGATTATTAGTTTAACGACTTCTCGGTCCAATTAAAATAAAAATAAAAATAAGTTAAAATTTTATACACTAAGACTACATGTAATACTGCGCCCCACAATTAATAAATTTACTAGGTATACTACGGCATTACAATGTTCTAGTAATTTACGGTTGGGTATTATTATTAACGATATATAGTTTCTTAATAGATTTTATATTTACTGATCATGGAATTAATTATTAAAGCTTAAAATTGATTATCTTTTAAGGAACAAAAAATCGAATCTACAAACGATAAAAAAAAGTATAAACCATGAATTAGACGTTACACGGTATACTTTAAATATTATGGTCAACTGATTTAAGACTACTCCGCATACGATAAAAAAAAGTATAAAACATGAATTGGACGTTACACGGTGTGATTTAAAATTAACATCCGACTAAATACAATGCTTATATTGTGATTGAAAAACCTTTTTTGTATTAATTGCTATTCTATTAAAAAAAATTTGTACAACAAAAAAACACATAAATTCCCCTCATTATTTTACAATAACGATATTTCGAATTAAATATAAGCAAAACATCGATCTTTATTAAAAGTGAGTGACCTGTTAATATGATTCACAAATAGTTTGCTGCTTCATTGAAAACGCGTCTAAAAAATTTCTTTACACTTTGTTTCAGCAATGTTATCAGAAGAAGTCCTTAAAAAACTTCAGTATTATGCGTTTTAGGAGAAACCCTACACCGAATGGTGTGTAGATTCGTGGAGGGAATATTTTGAAAGTGAAAGTCCAGACGCGTCTGTGTGGGAATGTAATCATTCCCTAGGTTGCGAAATTGAAATATTAATAGACAACCTAGATGACAAGTCAAGGGCGGCGCAAAAGGTACTTTCAATAAAAAGTGAATTAAAGGTTAGTATTTTTCACGAAATGTAAAAATATTAATGAGTGTAATAAGTGTGCTACGCCTTGGGATGCGTTCCTGGGGAAGAAGAGCGTATCGGACTGCCGAAATGCTTTCACCTTCGCTACGTGCACGGAATCTC